CGTAGATGGCGTTGCTTACTACCAACTTAAATTTTAAAATTCAGAAAGTCATTAAGAGGATCGGATTCTAAAATTTATTTAAAAATGTTTACGAAATATTAAAGTAACGTTCTCGTTACAGCTGTAATCGCAGTGTCGTCTGCATAAAGGTTGAGTAGTTATCCTGGTGTTCTTGGAACATGTGCGGTGTATATTGTGTACAGTAAGGATGACAGGACTGCTCCCTGTGGCACTCAAGCCTCCGGAGCTCTATACTCGGATAGTACTTGTTCTATTCGTGCCCTGAAATTTCGGTGGCTCAAGTACGAAGAACTCAGTCTCGTCACGGCCTCACTGTATCCGTAGCCTCTCATTTTGTATATTAGGCATTTATGCCAAACTCTGTCGAAGGCTTTATATCCAGGAACGCTGCTGCTGTGTAATGTTTTTCGTTAAATCCAGCTGTTATGTATTCTATCAGTCTAAGTACTTATAATTCGCTAGTGTTCTACTCTAAATCTGAACTGAGCTTCTAGTAGCTTGTAGTCTTCTTAGTATTACACTTTCTACGATTTTGCTGACTGCTGGCAGTAAGCTTATCGGCTTGTAATTTTGCAGAAACATGGTATTCTTTCCTGGCTTCGGAATCATAATAACGTGGGCTTCCTTCCATCGATTTGGGAAGAGCCTGTATCTAAGGATACAGGCTCTTCCCTACGTGTTCTTTATGTTGGTTAAAGGTACTATTGCTTTTGCTGGTAGATACTTCAGAGCTCTATTGGAAATTTCATCTAGACCAGCTAGCTTTTCCAGGTGAGCTATTTTTAATTAGTCCGTTTATTTCGTGAGGAGATGTAGGTGTGATTATCTCCTCTGGTTCTTCGGGCATTTCTTGATATTCCTCGACTTCTTCGATAAGGTCTACATATTCGTCTTGGTGATAATTTAATGTACACACTCCCTCGAGAGTCCTTCTCATCACCTCGGCTTTTTATCTATGGTGTAGACAATTCCATTTTCACTGTGTAATGGAGGTATGGGTTTTCTATAATTTCTTAGTATTTTTTGCAATTTCCATATGTTTTGCATGTTTAGACCTTTTTCCTCCATTTCTTGAACGTGGTTATCCCATTGTCGGCTTCTGTGCTCTGTTAGTGATGTTTTCACTTCTCTGTTTAGCCGATTTGTCCCCTTGATTTCTTGTTCTTCTAGCTCTCTTTTTGGCTCTGTTCTTTTCCCTTATCATGTCTTTGATTTCCTGGTTTGTCTCTAAACCTATTTTTGAGTGCTTCTTGTACGATGTACGAACTCTAGGACCCTTTCTTCTATTTCTTGTGGACTGTTTATCACTGGGATGTTGTTGATTCCAATACTCACAAGTCTTTTGTAATTTGTCTACTTTGTTTTCTTTCTTTTTCTTGTTGTGTTGTTTTCTTTCCATGTTCCTATTTCCAGTAGTATGGGGTTGTGGTCTTGTGATCCTTCGTATAATGTTCTGATCTCGGTCTGTAGTCCTAGATTTTTATTTACTACTATGTCTAGATGGATGGGTTGAACATTTCCTGAAAAATATGTCGGTTCGATGGGTCCTATTACTATTGTGTCTTCATTTTTTTGCTCGATAGTTGTTCCGTAATCTTCTACACTGGAGGAGACAAAACTGATCATCGATACGGAGTAGCTTTTATCATAAGCAACACTATTAAAAAATCAGTGTTAGGTGTGATTCAAATCTCAGAAAGAATAATAATGCTAAAAATTCAAGCACGGAACTGTAATATTAATATGATCCAAGTTTACGCTCCCACTGCTGATAAGACCGAAGATGAGATCGAAAACTTTTATTTAGAATTGCACAATACAATCAAGTTAACAAAATCTAGAGATATTACTTACATTTTAGGAGATTTTAATGCAAAAATTGGAGTAGGTACAGTTGAAAATATAGTTGGACAGTTCGGACTAGGAACTAGAAACGAGAGAGAAAGGCTCATAGAATTCTGCCAAGAAAAGAATATGGTAATTGCCAATACTTGGTTTCAGCTTCCTAAAAGAAGACTATATACATGGACGTCTCCTTCACATACAGAAAACCACATTGTCAGAAACCAGATAGACTTTATACTCGTAAATAGCAGATATAAAAACTCTATAACCTCAGTTAAAACTTATCCTGGAGCAGATGTTAACTCAGACCACAATCCGCTAGTGGCTGACGTGAAAATAAAATTAAAAAGAATTGAACTCAGAAAACAACAACCAAAAATTAACGTAAGAATGCTACAAAACGAAGAAATAAAAAACGAAATAAAAAATAATGTGAATGTTAATATGCAAAAAACACTAACTGACAACAAACAAATTATGGATGTAAATAAAAAGTGGTGTAATATAAAAAACACATTACTGAAACCAGCTCAAGAAAGTTTAATAGAACATAAATCAGAGGCTAAAAAACACTGGATGACAGAAGAAATACTATTACTGATGGAAGAAAGAAGGAAATATAAAGGAAAAGATCTACAGAAGTATAAAGAAATACAACGAATAATTAAGGAAAAAATCAAAACAGCTAAGGAAATCTATTTGATGAAGCAATGTAAAGAGATAGAAGAACTAGAAACAAAATATGATATGAGAAATATGCACAAAAAAATTAGAGAAGTGACTGGAATGGGTCGAAATAGACAGCAAGGACACATAAAAGACAAAAAAGGAGTACTACTAGTAGATTTACCAGAGAAGTTAAGGCGATGGGAGGAGTACGTTAGAGAACTTTTCCAAGATGAAAGAGGTGAAATGCAGAAAATACAAGAATTAAATCCTTTAGAGATACAGAAGATCACGATAGATGAAATCAAATATGCTATCAAAAACTCTAAAGACAATAAGGCAGCTGGATTAGATGAAATACCAGTAGAACTCTTAAAACTAGTGGAAGAGGACAACTTGGAAGTATTGGCAGATTTATTCAACACGGTGTACGATACGGGAATAATACCACAGGAGTGGCTAAAGTCAGCATTTATAACCATCCCTAAAAAACAAGCAGCAAAAGAGTGCTCTGATTATCGAACACTGAGCCTCATGAGTCATACTTTAAAAGTTCTGCTAAAAATAATACATAAGAGAATATACGAAAGGCTAGAGGAGGATATTAGCGAGACGCAGTTCGGGTTCCGAAATGGAATGGGTACTCGAGAAGGACTATTTGCCATCAACATATTAATTCAGCGATGTCGGATGTGAATGTTGATCTACACTTGTGCTTCGTTGACTACGAAAAAGCTTTCGATAAAGTAAGACATGAAAAACTAATATCAATACTTATGAACAAGCGCATTGACAGTAAAATCATAAATATAGTGCAAACATTATATTGGAACCAAAGTGCCATAGTTCAAATTGATGGGCAACACTCAGAAGAAATGAGGATCTGTAGAGGAGTTAGACAGGGATGTGTGTTATCACCACTTTTGTTTAACTTATATTCTGAAGAAATTTTCCAAAACACGCTCAATAATATCGAAGCGGGAGTCACCGTTAACGGAAAATTAATTAATAATTTAAGATATGCAGACGACACTGTGATCATAGCAACGAGTATAGAGGATCTACAACATCTTATCGAAAGCTTGAGTATAAATAGTGCTGAGATGGGAATTACTATAAACGCCAAAAAAACGAAGTACATGCTGATTACAAAAAGGCCACAAAATATACATCACCTATTGACAATAAATGGTAACGTGATAGAACAAGTAGAAAAATATCAGTATTTGGGAACTTTGATCAATGAAACCAATGATCATACTGTAGAAATAAACAGACGAATAGAGATTGCCAGATCAGCATTTATACGAATGAAGCCACTCCTAACGTGCAAAAATCTAAATTTGGAGATCAGACTACGTACCATTCGCTGTTATATATTTTCAATATTATTATATGGAGCTGAGACTTGGACATTAAAAAAATGTAATTTAAAAAGAATCGAGGCCTTCGAACTCTGGTTATACCGCAGAGTATTGAAAATATCATGGACTGATAGAATTACAAATAAAGAAGTACTGGAGAGGGTTGGTAAAGAAACAGAACTAATCACCACTATACAAACCAGAAAACTGGAATACCTAGGCCACGTGATGAGGGGACCAAAATATGAAATTTTGAGACTGATAATACAGGGAAAGATTCAAGGAAGAAGATCTGTTGGCCGAAGGCAGAACTCATGGTTAAAGAATCTACGTGATTGGTACCAATGCAGATCGATTGATTTGTTTAGAGCAGCAAGTTCTAAAATAAAAATAGCCATTATGATTGCCAACCTCCGTAGGGAGACGGCACTCTAAGAAGAATCTTCCGTTTCTATTCGTAGCTCTATCGTTTCAGTTTGGGGATCTCACATTTAGTTCTTCTATTATTATGGACGGCTCTTCTATATTCAGGAACGCGTTCAGGTCGTCGTCTATTATAGGATCTCGTGGTCTTACGCATGCAGATGTGATTCTGATATCTTCTTGCCTCATTTGTACTTTAATTGTAGTTGCTTCCATAGTGTTTAGTTGTGGTGTTAGTATTCTTGTGTGTGGAATTCCTCTTCTCCCTAGGATAGCAGTGCCTCCTGAATTAGCTCTATGATCGTTCCTGTAGATGTCGTAGCCAGGAAACTTTATGTTTATGCTGTTAGACTAGTTCAGTGCTATCTTTATCCCTTGGTGACTATTTCTCTCATCATATGGGTTAGTACATCTTGTTGTTCAAATTTACAGTAATCTACAAGATATTTCATTAATGAAATTTTCAAATTTCTTTCATTTTATTATATATTTGTAAATGAGTTGATCATTGGTATACACACAGTTATCATCATTTCTCAATATGCGTTTATATTAAACATATCTTCCATTTTGAAAAGTCCTATTGCAAATAAAGCTATTAATGTTAACATTTTCAAAAGTTTTTTACGAATTTTTACAGTTTTTTATGAATGACTAAAAATGACATTTTTTTTGTTTTAGATGAACAGTTGGCCCTGAAATACGCAAAGCGAGGAATAGTAGGACCCTTGAACGTTCTCTGGACCCGATACTTCATCAACCAAAACCACGAAAAGGCCGACCAAATCTGGAATGAACACTTAAAGGATTCAAACAGAATAATGTTCCAAAAGATAGTACATACCGCTAGAGAAGAGCAAAACGAAAACTTAGCCAAAAAACTGATTGAACATTTAAAAGCCAGCAGTGTGTCAGAAGGAGCTCTTGGCAACGCGTACAGTTGCTTATTAGATGTGTTGTTCAGTAAAGAGAACCACAAACATGTCGTCGAAACCTTCGAAGAAGCGATGAAAGCCGTATCTTTGAGTTTCTTAAATAGGACTGCGATTATTAGAAGCAAAGAAGCCTTTGAAAAATTAGGAAAAACCTTTGATTATGAAATACCACCTAGAAATAAAAATAATGTACCGATAGAAGATTTATCGTAAATTGTTAGATATTTTATTCACATGTATATATGTAGTTTTAAGTTTGGATGTTTCAAAAGAAAATGATGTATTTTCCATTATTGGATGCAGTATTTGTTCTTTTTCGGTGTTGTTCAGCAATTTCTTTTGGATAATTCGAAAAGGCCAATTTGTTTTTTATAATAAACTGTTATCAACAATGTGGTTTTACTTACCTTTAAAATGTTCCTGAAAGGTCCGTACATTTTAGTCAATAAGTACAAGTTTGCTTTTATGCAAACATGATATCTTAGTGGACAGAACCATATCTATAAATACATATTTCTGAGTTTTCTAGTCAATTTTTTATCAAAAAGAGAATTCGTCGTATAATATGGTTTGAGAATAATGTCCATATAGTTTCGACCAATTTGATGTATATTTTTACTATTTTCCAGCAGTGGCGGATACAAGAGACGAAATTCCCTCTACCTCAGCAAAGTCCAAAATCAAAGAAAAAAGTTGTTTTTGGCAAACAAATTCAATCCAATAAACCCATGGGTGGGATGTAATTTTTAGTCCCTTCATATCTTTAGCATCGTATGTTTTGCCTTGCAAATTTATAAAAGGTACAGATTAAAGAAAAAATCTAAATTTTGTAATTTTGAAAGTAGAAATCTTCGGAATTCTAAAAGACTAAAACAAAATTACATTAACATAACTTCAAATATTTGCTGTCTTTTTCACCAAACAACATACTTTTGGAGTAAACGGCGATGTGATTCCAAACCGTCTACTAAAACTTATGTTTTATTCCAATACAAATTTGCAATTATGCGAACGTCTCTGCCATCCAAACCAATGTTTCTTAGAACTTCGATCAATATCGAGTACTTAATACGATTAAATGCCTTTCGGAAGTCAATAAAAATAAAAAAAATCATTGGCGTACAACAGTACGCCCAACGAAAATATGTAATCCACCATTTTGGATTTTCTATAATGAACTCTTTTCTACTAGTCAAGCCCTTTCATTTGATACCCATATTGAAGTAGTTGTGAAAAAATAAGTATTCCGCTATTGTGTAGCGGCGTCCATCTTGGATATACAATGATACTGAATGTATGTAGTGTATGTATAGTCGATTCGCTAATCTCAGACACAACTATCTAGTATTTTAGTAATTATTTTATTGCGAAAGTTAGTTACATTTTAACAGACTAGAACTGGATGACAATTACTATATTTACAACCAAGCACATATGCTCATAGCCAATATTAAGAGTAAACAGACATAAATCTTACTCCAATCAATCATTATTTATTTACACCATAATATAATTCCACAACAGACAACGGAAGATTTGACCAATAATTTAAAGGTAAATGCTCCAAATATACATTTCTACTTCAAGAAGTTAAAGGTTACGGAGTACCAAGCAAGCTTTAAAGTTTCACATCCATTGGATTATAAAAATGAAGTTCTCAATCCCAGTATCTGGCCTGAAGATTCAATGGTTCGTAGTTTTGATTTCAAGTATAAGAATTGTACTAACCGCAGTTAACAACAAAACCAGAAATAATTGTTACAAATCCGGCTTAGGCAAACTAGATACTACAAATAATTTTAAAGGCAATACCAATCAACTAAAAATCGTATGTATTAACTCTGAATCTATTGTAAACAAAATAAATTGTATCGAAATATTAGTTAAAACTGAAAGTCTAGATTTACTATGTATATCCGAATCATGTGTAATGACAATAATATAAATTCGTTTTATCTTCCTAATGCTCTCTTGTAATGATTCGTAATACTTTTTTGATTATTTTTTAGGTTATTACATTTTTATATTTATAGAAATATACTCGTACAATAGTTACTTCTTGATTTTTTATTCGTTTTAGTCGTTTACTCCAATATTCGACTTTAAAGGAAAAATGTAATTTTAATAGGTTTCCAAGACATTAACAATCGATATCAACATAAAGTTTCTTGTTTCTCAGTCTCACCCAAAGAGAATTTTAATTTTTAGAGCTCGTGAAATTTCCGTGGCAGTTACAATGGCTTTGTTATTTTTCGATTATATTACGAAAGATAATTTATTAGGAAATTCCACGACGAACAAATTATATCTTGTATCAACACAAGCCAAAAAGAATCGGTGTATTATTGTATTATCAATGCCAACATCAGAATAAACAAAAAAGTATTTTCATCTATGGTTTCATCAATACGATTTTCACCATTACTTTGCGTTGTGCGATGTATTTGCAACCTTTTGTAAATCAAAAATAATTACACCATTTAGAATGTCAACAAAAGCCGGCCCTGCATGTAATTATTTTTTCAGTGCAATATTTCATATTTATTGAAAGTCAACATAAATGCTCAATTGTATTTAAGAATTTATATTGTGTGATATGCCCACTGACTATTATACTCCATTCCACGAATATACGACTGTTTTAAATTCACTTTAAGGTGTCGACTTAAATGGTCCAATGTGCTGCATTGTACAATAGTAAATTCTCCCCATTTTTAAAATACTGTTACGACAGATATAAACCTTAGATTTAAATATGAAGTCATGATATAAATATAGAGTTGATAGTTTATATAATAGTTGTAATTCAGAATTTAAATTATATAATTACTATCATTAAGTTTAGTATTTTAAACAAGTTGGTGTTTTAATTAAGTGATTTAAACGAAGTGATTAAATACTTAAGTGATTAAATAGTGTACTTTATTTAGTCGAATATTCAATTAGTATTAAAAAAACAAAAAAACTTACTTGTTCTCTTATTCACCTAATCTCCTAAAACTATTATCAACCATCAGATTCACAGCCATAATCACTGTCGTCGCTATCCTCATTTGGATGGTAAATTATAATAGGATTAACTGCTTCGATGCGACCTTCACGGATCCACCATTCTTTAATTAAGTCTTCACATTTTTTTACACTTTTTCCCCAAATTTCAGGAGTGGCAATATCCAATGCTTGTTGCCATGTTTCCAAGACTGCCTCGTCACTGTAACCCTTGTATCCAATATGGTTATCATAATATGTTTTGCAAATCCCCCAAATATATTCAATTGGATTGAATTGGCAATGATAGGGCGGTAGTCTTAACACACGATGTCCAAAGCTATGTATAATTTCGTCTACTATATATATATATATATATATATATATATATATTTATATATATATATATATATATATGTTTGGTTGTGCATGACTTTTAGCTAACGTTAGTAATTGAGGCTTAAAACAGTATTGAGGAAATGTAATATTTTTATTCGTTAACCATTCTTTTATTTTATCTACAGTCCAGGTGTTTGTTGGTTGCTTATTTAAAATTTCCGAATGATACGCAGCATTATCCAGTACTATAACGGATGGTTCATGTAAACTTGGCAACAGTTTTTCTTTCAACCATTTAACAAACATCTCCGTATTCATATTGTCATGATAATCGGCTGATTTTGATTTTGATGAAAACACAAGATCTGCTCCCTCAATAAAACCATATTTTCCACCTGCATGTACTATAATATATCTCTTTCCCTCGTTATCGATGTGTTTTATGGATTTTATACTCTCGTCCTGCCACATTCGTTTGATACCGCCTTTAGCAAAAATCCATGTTTCGTCTAAATAAACGAAGGAAGAACATTCTTCTTTAAATTTGTTGTAATTTCTTAAAAATTCTATTCTTTTGTGAACGACACTAGCTCTTTCACACAAAGCCTTTCTATTGTCTTCCTTTTTGAACTTAAAGCCAATCTGTCTTAAAACTCTCCAGAGACTTGTTCTGGAAATTTCAAATATATTTCTGTCTTTTAATTTTTGTAGCACTGAATCTAAAGAAACATGTTCTTTCTTTTCGCGCATTTTATATATTGTCTCACGGATTTCAAATTTGCAACCTTCGGGAAGATCTATAGTCTTTGGTTGTCGGCGAGATTTATATTGTGCGACATTTTGTTCACTTTGTCCACTTTTTTTTTCTTTTTGCAAAACCGACTTTAGTTTTGTTTCACTAATACAGAGTGCATCACACACACGTTTATGTACGGACTCAACAGGTCGCAAAGGGCCCCCGTTGGTTTTCTCAGCAGTAAAATAAGAAAGTACATTAATTATAAACTTGTCTACATCTAAAACACGTCTCGGCATTTTTAGCTTCAATAAACAAATACACTATACTAAACTCTATCTTAACGGACACCTCTCTTCACCGGAAACCCCTATACGGACGGTTTTTAAAACTAAAATCAGTCGGCGATATATGAAACTGTATGTAAATTTTCGTTACTTTTTAATATCTGTAACGACTCGGTACTTTAACTATCAATAGCCGGTATATTATACCCGTTATAAAAAAACTTTCGGAACTTAAGAGTACATCCACTCAAACCAAACAAATATTTAAAACTAACAAAGTGAACTATTATATAGATTCTATTTCTGGTTTCTGAACCATCCTTCTGCCAATTTCTTTTCATTTATAATAAAAATGGTATATTTATTTTTATTACAGTTCTCTTACCTAATAAAGTAATAAAATATAATATCAAAGAAACCCGGCGCGCCTGTTTGCATTTATTTACAAATGTTTACATTTCAAATGCACTTTGTTTACATTTCACCGAAATCCAAGCCAAATGTCTGATGAACACATTTTCGTAAAAATGACCGTTTGCGAAAAAATGTTTGGTATTTTCGGATTAAATTTCACAATAAATTTTGCGTCTATTTGTACATCTATTAACTGAAATAATTTTAGTTCAGATGTAATACTAACAGTAGATGCTTTTTATTGGAATAATAATTAGACCAATTTACTTTCATACTTCTACTTGCACAGTAAAATATTCGTTGTCGCAATAATCCCAAACAGTCGTATATTCGTGGAATAACCTATAGTAAGCTGGTTGCTTTCCTGTCATTTTCACTCGTTTGCGGCTTGCCCACGCAAGATCAAAGGAGTGTCGCTTCTCTGTGTTATGTTATGTGAACCTACCTTAATATTTGTAAACCTACCTTAACATGGGTGACAGGTGAAGGACATTGACAGCAGACAAGGGAAGAAGATGGCTCGTTAGATATAATCATGTATTAAGTTTAGTTGGTCTTTAATAAAAGATATTAAAAAGAAACTGGTCGTCAATCTTATTAAAAGCCCACAGAGACAACGTAACATGGTGTCAGAAGTAAAAATTCAGGTCAGATTATAGTAACGAGTATTATAATAGTCATACAAAAGTCGAAACATGGTCTAACAGCACGTGGTGATCTGGTTGGTTTTAAAAGAAATTAATTAAAAACGGTCAAAAGGTAAAGTTCAACCATGTCGGAACAAGATTCTATAGAGCAGAATCAACCTGTCGTTGTAAAAATAAAAAGTAACGTGATAGGAAATGAAATCCAACCGTTGTCAATGCAAGGAAATTTGGCACATAACTGGGGAGAATGGAGCATAAATTTCAAAATATTTTTGAGAGCCACAGGTTTAGAGGAAGAAAACGATGCGAGAAAAGTAGCTTTATTATTGCACTATATTGGTACAGATGCAAGAAATATTTACAAGTCATTTGAGTTTAACATGGATACTGTAACATTTCGAGAAGTTGTAGGGAAATTTGAAAAATACTGTAACCCGAAGAAAAATTTAACAGTAGAAAGACATTATTTTCTTACTAGAGTACAGAAAGATGGTGAAACCATTGAAGATTTCATGACTAGTCTAAAGAATTTGAGTTTAACATGTGAATTAGGAATTTTAAAAGAAAGTTTGGTGTGTGACATGTTCATTATTGGTTTAAATCCTAAATACCATTCAATTAAGCAAAAACTATTGCAAGAAGTAGATCTGAAGACAGAAAAGGTATTACAAATTGCTCAAAATATAATTACAACTCAAATGCAAGCACAACAGTTAAATAAAAATTCAGAAGCAGTGGTATACAAAGTAGAGAAGAATAAAGATGGTCCAGGTCCGAATTTTTCAAATCATTCAAGGTATAGAAATGAAGTCCCAGGTCCAAGTTGGAGAAATGATAGTCAAAGGTACAACATAGATGGTACGAACACAAACAGTCAAAGTCAGGTAACAAGTCAGAATTTTAAATCAAGATATAATGGATATGCAAATCAGAGTAAGAATAGTGAAAATAATCAAGTGGTAAGAAAAGTTTGTCAAAGATGTGGTGAAAATCATAGAAATAAATGTCCAGCATTAGTAGCTATTTGTCATTATTGTAAAAAACAAGGTCATTATGCAAAATGTTGTCAAACTAAAAGAATAAATAATATAAATTTAAGAGAAAGTACAGTACAATCATCTAATAATGAAAATGATTCATGTTTTGTTATTAAAACTATTAGTCAGAATAGTATTAATCAGAATTGGTCAATTGTAGTCAGAATCAATAAAATAAATGTAGTATGTTATTTAGATACAGGTGCACAAGCTAATGTGATGTCAATAAAAATTTTTAATGAGGTTAATGTACAAAAGTTAGAACTGGTACCTACATGTATAAATTTAAAGTCTTTTTCAAATGATGTCATACCTATAGTAGGAAAAGTAAATTTGTTATGTGAAATTGAGAATAGGTTAGAAAGTATTGAGTTCATTATTGTGAATTTGGAGTGTCAAACAATTTTGGGTCTAGATACTTGTCATAAATTAAAATTAATTAAAAGAGTTGGTCTAGTAAGTCATGAGTCTATAATAGAGAAAAATAAACAAGTTTTTGCTGGTCTAGGTTGTCTACCTAATGTATGTCACTTAGAAATTGATAAAAATATTAAACCTATAATAGAACCGCCAAGAAGAATACCTTTTTCTTTACATGATAAATTAAAAGAAGAATTAAATAGAATGTTGTCTACGGGAGTAATAGAAAAAGTCAATGAAGCAAGTGAATGGGTAAATTCAATAGTCTTAGTCGAAAAAAGTAATAAAAGTTTGAGAGTTTGTCTGGATCCCCGTAATTTAAACAAAGCTATAAAAAGATGTCATTATCCTATACCAACATTTAATGAGATTAGGTCAAAATTAGCAAAAGCAAAATATTTTTCAACACTAGATGCACAGTCAGGGTTTTGGATGATACCATTAGATTTAGAGAGTTCTAAGCTATGCACATTTAATACACCCTTTGGAAGGTTTAGATTTACAAGATTACCTTACGGTATAAGCTGCGCTCCTGAGATTTTTCATAAAGTAATGAATGAAATAGTAGGAGACATAGAAGGAGTTTGTTTATATATAGATGATATTTTAATTTATAGTGAAACTTTGGAAGGTCACAATAAAATACTAGAACTAGTACTAGAAAGGGCAAAACAATTCAATTTAAAATTCAATATGGACAAATGCAAATTTCTATTATCAGATATAAAATATTTGGGTCATATTTTTAGTGCAGAAGGCATATGTCCAGATTCTAGTAAAGTAAGTGCAATTTGTCAAATGTCTATTCCTAACAGTGTAGCTGATATTAGAAGATTTTTGGGAATGATTAATTATTTAGGTGAGTACATAGATAATTTAGCAGAGCGTACAAAAAATTTAAGGTTGTTATTGAAAAAAAATATTAGTTTTCATTGGACAGAAGAGCATGAAAGAGAATTTGAGTCGCTTAAAGAAATGATTAGTCAAACGCCAGTACTAGCATATTTTGATAACAATTTACCTTTAACATTATCAGTTGATAGTTCACAATTTGCAGTTGGTGCAGTGATTTTACAAAACAAAAAACCTATAGCATATGCATCTAAATCTTTGTCACAGGCTCAGTCAAATTATGCACAAATAGAAAAAGAGTTATATGCAATACAGTTCGGATGTACTAGATTTAAACAATACATTTATGGTAGAAAAGTTCAAGTTGAAACAGATCATAAACCATTAGTCAGTCTTTTTAAAAAACCATTATCTGAGGTTCCAGCACGTTTGCAAAGGATGATGCTAAACTTACAGCTTTATGATTTAGAAGTTAGCTATACTCCAGGAAAATTTCTTTTCATCGCAGATACATTAAGTAGGGCACCAGTAGAAGGTCCAGATAATACTGATAGTGGAGATGAAGAGTTACGTATACATGGAAGTTTATTAGTTAACAATTTAGCTGTGTCTTCAAAGAAATTAATGGAAATACAGGCAGCAACCAAAACTGATAGAGTTTTACAGTCAATAATAAGATATTATAATGAAGGTTGGCCAAGTTCGAAAAATAAATTGGAAACGGAGGTTAAACCGTATTACAATTTCAATCATGAAATACATGTTGTGGATGGATTAGTCTTTAGAGGAAATCAAATAATAATTCCTGAGTCATTGCGTCAAGTTATATTAGAAATAATTCATGAAGGTCATTTAGGATATGAAAAATGTATTCGACAAGCACGTACGGTAGTTTTTTGGCCAGGCATGTCAGTAGATATAAAGAATAAAGTTGAACAGTGTCCAGCATGTCTTAAATATCATAGATCAAATAGTCCAGAACAACTATTACCACATGAAATACCAACTTTGCCTTGGCAGAAAATTGGTGTTGATCTTTTTTATTATAGTAAAGTCACATATATATTATTAGTAGATTATTATTCTAAATACTTTGAAATAGCGCCTTTAAATAATACTTCAGCAAAAGAGGTAATTAGTACAATGAAGTCTATATTTGCGAGACATGGAATACCATTGATCTTAATGTCTGATAATGGTCCCCCATTCTCATCAAAAGAGTTTCAGTCATTTTTAGTAGATTGGGACATTACTTATCAAAGTTCTAGTCCTTATTATCCAAAAAGTAATGGTTTGGTAGAGAGGACAGTTCAAACTGTAAAAAATATTTTTAATAAGTGTATAGAGTCAGGCTCTGATCCATATCAGGGAATGTTGCAATACAGAAATACAACGTTAGAATGTGGTTATTCTCCAGCTCAGTTATTAATGTCACGTAATTTAAGAATGAAATTACCTGTTAGTGAAAAAATACTCATACCAAAAACAATTGATAGGAACGAATATAGCAAATTTGTTAAGGAAAAAGAAAGGAAAGTAAAAGAATATCATGATAGGTCAGCTAGAAACTTACCGAATCTGTTTGTTGGAGAAAATGTATTTTATAAAAAGGTTCCATCATCACCGTGGTTACCAGCTACTGTGATAGAAATAGGTCCTTTTCCAAGATCATATGTCGTCAGAACACCTGAAGGTGTACATTATCGTAGGAACAGACAACACATATTAAAGCCTGCCAGTACAATTAGTAGACAAAATAGTGAGGTGATAGTTAAGCATGAAAATAGTACAGCAGCTAGTTCCAATTTGTATGAGGCTCCAAATATGAACAACGATACATCAATTTCAAATCAAAGTTATGACAATTTAAATGTTAACTTAAATAGGTCACATAGACTAAATGTAAGTAATCAATTTTGTACCAGGAGTGGTCGAATTGTAAATAGACCAAAAAGGTTTTCATTTTCAGAAGAGTAATGCGGCAGTGTAGTGTTGCGGGTAGATTTAGGTTGTTAGGATAGTTTAGTTTTTTTTGTTAAAAAAAAAGGGGCATGTTATGTTATGTGAACCTACCTTAATATTTGTAAACCTACCTTAACATGGGTGACAGGTGAAGGACATTGACAGCAGACAAGAGGGAAGAAGATGGCTCGTTAGATATAATCATGTATTAAGTTTAGTTGGTCTTTAATAAAAGATATTAAAAAGAAACTGGTCGTCAATCTTATTAAAAGCCCACAGAGACAACGTAACACTCTGCGTTCGTAGTTTCTCTGGTTTGGGCTCAAAGGATTTGTCAGGAAGACCTAAGACAGGGAAAAATGTGTCCAAATTATTGTCAACCTTCGATAGGAGAAGGCAGTCGAAGAAAAAGAAGGAAAGTAAACTTATTTATGCTGTAAGTAATGGAAATAAATAACATAAAAAAAAGTGTTTAAAATTTATTCACATATTTTCTCTTAATATCTATTAAATATTGGCGAAAGAGCAATAAATATGACTTAAAAAATATTACAGAAAAGAATCATTGTAGTTTTACCACATTGAACAAACACGCTTGGATAGAAGCTACCTACAGCTGTTAGGACATAAGCTTAAATTGTAAGTTCAAAAATACTGTAGTAAAATTAAGATGTTTATAACCTGGGCTCTAACTAAAGTATTTCTAGATCACAATGCCGAATTTCTGGATACTTTTTCTGAAACAAAAAAAAACTATTAAAACCTTTATTGGTTCTGATATACCTCTAAATCCAAAATTACATTACACCGTGATATTTCATCTCTAAAAGATCACTGTAACTTTTCACAAACTGTGTGTACTAAATACAGTGTCAAGCCGCTATTTCTCCGCAAACAGCGCCTTAAATACTTTTCTAGATGCGTTGATATGATTATATCTCACTATCACTCAAAAGATAATAATATACAGTATATATACCTGATAATAATAAGGAAACGTTAAAAGAAAAGGTAAGTATTTGCCGAAAACAAAACTCTTGATATATAATATAATATATATATATATATATATATATATATATATATATATTATATATATATATATATATATATATATATATATATAGTTAGTTTTTCGTTATCGACCATCAAATAATTAAAATAAATGTATATTATCAGGCTTTTTGGTCAGAAAATAAAACGATTTTTTTCTCGTAAACTCAATATTTCGCCATTTGGTTTATGGCTTTTTCAAGAGCGCACTAAAAAATTATTTATTGATAGAATAAAAAAAAATAACATAACATAAAAGAACTTACAGATGTAATCGTTCAAACAGCGTAGCACAAACACAACATCTTAGTGACAGACTAAAAATATTAAAACACAAACACATCTTCATGAGTGACAAACTAAAATTCAACTAAAATATTGTAATACCTGATTTTGTTTAATTGTCCTACAATTTAATCAGTGACGTGCAGAAACTAATATATTTTATAAATTAAAAAGATTTTTAAGATGTTACAATAAATGGAACTAAGTCCGTTAGCGTCTGTTTTGTTGTTAATAGCATTATCTGTCCTGCTTATATTGCACATTTCGAGAAACAGCCTATTTTTGTAATTTGAGACTGATTGTATTATTTTTACATTATCAAAATCAATTCATGACCTGTCTTGATGGAATGTTCGACAACAGCGCATGTATTTTTTCCCCTTCTGCAATCATTTCTGTGTTGAGTGACCCGTTGTTTCAACCATTGTCCGTTTGACCAATGTGGCATCCTCTGGCATCCAAAACATTGCAAATTTGTAAATGACGTTACTATTGTACATGGTTGGTGTATGATCTTTGGTTTTAGAAAATAAGTTGTTGCATTTAAAATTGCTGTATTTACTAATTGTTGTATTGGTGTAGCTCTTAAATATTGATGTTAGTTGATTTGTTAGACCAGGGATATATGGTAGTTTTTTATATCGGTTTCTCTCGGGGGTTTGTCTATTTAGTTTACGAGAAAAAAATCGTTTTTATTTTTCTGACCAAAAAGCCTAAAATACAAATTTTATTAAAACATGATTTCGCGAGCTTACTGACACGAAAAATCGACGGTGGCTTCAAGGTTGTTTCTAAGAGGACGCTTTATTCTACACAACAAATGCTTACAAACATTTTTGTTTAAAATTATCTCAGCTACATTTTTTATTTAAATCATTTTTTTCTACGGTGTACAGATTCTGTGTAAATCGATTTTTTTGCCTCTTTTCCCTTATGGGAGGGGTTTAGGGGGAAGTCCGGGAATAAAAGTGGTAAACTTTTTTGCATCTTTTTTGGGGTCCCAAAATTAATATTCTCGGCCAAAATTAGCTTGTTCGTATGATTTTTAGAGGTTCAGTGGCATTTTCGTATCTGACGACTGGAGTATCGCTAAATATGGAGACATTAAACGTTTTTTAGCACTATTTATGTATAAAATATAACGATATTGCATAAATAAATATAATGCGAACTCTAATGAGTAAGAATTATTAGGTTTCTACACAAGAAGTGACAAAGATATTGCTGTTAACACCATTGACAATCGCCTTTGAGTTCTCATTAACTAATAGTTAATAACTATATAGTGTACGATGATTTAATGTAAACACAACGTTCATGAAACGGACGTAGAAGTGTGAAGGAATGTTAGTTTAGTAAGTTGTCTAGATTTGGCGCAATAAGGTGACAAAAACTACAATTTTAGGGAGGTTTTGTTACTTGTCTTTTGATTAAAAAAAAAACGTTTCAATTATAATAAAACTTTTGTGTAACTATTTATTACCCCTGTTTAATTTGTTTCATATTAAGTTTTATAGTAAAATACGACCAGTAATGTGTTCTAACTGTGGATACATAACGGCGCAGTCGCGCACGGAATGACACCTAGTCTCATGGGGGGAAACGTAGGAGATGCTGAATGAGTCAGTAACGTACGCAGTGTGGCGCGATTCTCAATCTAAACGATTCCCCCTAAGACGGATCACTTAATAAAGGATGTACAAGGAAGTATTGACAATGAGATTACTTTAGAAAATAGTAAAACCACTGACGGACCCTCATTGATATTCGAGATCATGCTGAAGCGATATGAACATAGCTAACAAGCTTTGTCTATAGAATACACAACGAGGGAAACAACAATCGTAAAGCTGCGCACATGACTCATGAAGCTGAAAACAACAATCGACTTATCAGAAAACTTTAACTACGAAAATAATTTTCTAAATCGGTTTCACGTAATGAAAAACGTCATGAAATCCATAACGGTGGGAAAGAAAACCATAAAATGAGGGGACCGTTTGATAAAAACAGTTATAACGTGCGTGAACTAATTGAAACCGTATAAAAAATCATATATTTTTTGAAGTCAATTTTACTCTTTAACGTCCATATATATACTATAATATATATATAATATATATATATATATATATATATATATATATATATATATATGCTGTTTTTGTGACATTCAATTATTATCTCCTATAGCAATAAACTTACCCTCAGTTTCATTCTATTCGATCAATTTCACCTCCCATCATATCTACTATATTTTCACCATGTTTTAACATAAATTCTTCTAGTTTGTCTATATTGTCAATTGCTTTAATTTCCTGCAAAAAATATGAAACAAAATTATCAAGACTGCATATTTATAATGACATAGAAAAAAATATACCCAGTAATACTAAATGTATTACAATAATTTTTTGTATACATGTCTCTTAGGTTTAGTTAAGTAATTTTTCTGAAATACTAAGAATAAAGAAACTGAGAATAAAGATAATATAATTGTTTATTTACAATAATAATTATTACTAAAGGCCATGTTTCGGTTTCTATTTATATATATATATATATATTTATATATATATATATATATATATATATATATATATAAAGACCAAACCTATTTATTTTTTTATATTTTCAATTTTTTTTACCAATCCTTTAATATCTAGAATCCTCGAGTTTTCCTTGTCTCTCAGAGAAACATATATACATGTCTGTATTATTGTGTAACAAACTTACCTCTAATAATTCATTTAGTTCAAGCTTATCTAAGTACGCTCTTGTCAATTCCCTTCCATCAAAATCTAGCTCTGCTTTGTATCGCACCAAATAACTACCCATATCAATTCCTTTTACGTCATGAATTGCTCTAATCATAATATCCTTCTCCAATTCGGTATTTATTTTTTCTAAATTCTCTTCTGGTATTGATCTGGAACATAAACATGTGAATCTAGTTTTCTAATGAATTTTTTTATTATGAGAATAACCCTTTCATGCAAATGTTACTTGTACTGGTGCTGATCTGGAACATAAACATTTAAATCTAGTTTTCTAATGATTTTTTTTATTATGAGGATAACCTTTTCATGCAAATATTACTTGTAAATGACTGGCATGTGTTAAAAATATACATATACAAACTGTTTACCTGCCTACAAGTGCTGCAACATTGGTGTATATTATAAAAGATGCTACAGAGCCCAAAATACACCCAACAAGTAGTGATCCTAGAGCATCAGGTACAGGACTATTTGTTAGAGAAGACACCCCCATACAACCAGCAGCCACTATAACTCCAATCACAGCTGCAAAGTCTTCTAACAGGACAACATTTACACTAGGATCTTGGCCTCTAAAAACTAACGGAATGTTAGCAGATGCATGAAAATAAATATATCTACTTACTGTATTCCTTTACAGTCATATTGACTTCCCTTGCACCTTTTCTTATTGAATTAAATGCAACTAACCAAGTGGCACCCTCGGATACTAGAGAACCGCCTAAGATAAAGTAGGCCTGAAATAATAAATATTAACTTTAACCATTATCGTAGCTGTACTAGAAAAAACAATTTTAAATATAAAATTGTGTCAACAATATAAACCATAAACGTCAAGTACAACAAATGAACGTCAGCTTTTCTAATAAAATTCATAGGGAAAATGTTTATGCGTACTATGTAATTTAGCATGAAAAAGATAATAATTAGAACTTAAACAAAAACATCTATAAAGCGAACATCCTAAAAGCATATTTGAAAACACATTTATCTTCCTGAAACAAATTTCTACAATTCATTTATAGGGGAGACTCGTCATGCAGCAATAGATCGAGGATAGATTCGCAGAGAAAAATGCAGGATTTTTAACTAAATTTTCCACTGGTGGGGAATATGTTGCGTAACAACAATATTTAATGTTTTTATTTAATTTTGTATCATATTATTATATCGCACTGTATATTAGTTTAGATTTATAAAATTCCTTTGTACAATCTATTAATCTGTAAGGCGCCGATAGCTTGCATTCAAATAACTTTCTAGACACAAACTTCTAACAGCTTCAAAGAATCTAATAATGAAAGGATTAATATTTTCCAAATTATCGGTTTGAGTCATTTGAAATTCCCCAACAATAATCAAGGTTGATAAATAGCCTTCTCAGGTAATTTTATCAATAAAATGAAGTCGAAGGTATTTGAAATATAAACATATCCTTTATATACGTCGAGGGGTTCAGGGGGGAGATTTCTGAATATTTAGAAACAATTACGAGCGTAGTGATTGAAGGGAGAGAGAGTGGACATCAGTTCGCAGTTCAAATCAGTATCAGTTCAAAATCCAGCATTGGATGAGCGATAGGCTCTACTCGCGCTAGCCGCACTTCAGAAGCTTTAACACAAATGGGATATTAATAAGTTTACTTAGTTCGTGTCAATATTGTATCACCGAAAAGTTATCTAGTTTTATAGTTTCATAAAGTTTAGTAAATAGACTTGTTAAAACGTTCTTTTCGAATCTTTCATTTGTCCCAGGTTTCTTGGTGGTCCTTCAAAAAAGTAAACAAAGTGAACCTATTTCCCTAAAACAAGGAAAAACCTTGTTCCCTAAGGAAAAAAAAACAGCGACCTACGACTGGGGCGCGAAACAAAGGCATCAGAACAAGATGTAAGGACAAACACACCTGCATCTTCGCTCAAATTATACAGGGTGAACTAGTTACAATTTTCACAGAAAATTGGTTATAACATTAATGGTTCTAACTAAAATACAGGGTGTTCTATTAAAAAAAAAAACATAAGTTTGGTCTGCCACTAAGTTATTGAACACCCTGTAACATCATTTTGTAATATGAACCTCCAAATTGCCTATAATTTTTATTACTAACTTAGATTGCTATCTATTATTATAGCAGATCTACTGGGCTTTATCACACTAAATCAATCACCCATGTATATGTCATGTAGAAAAGAATTTTACAGCCGCTGGTAATATAAATGCTAAATATATTTCTTTATTCTTATTCATTACTTTCTTCAGCTGCTCTTTTTCAATTAACCACCCATAACCACTCTCTAGAATCAGTGCTCATTTTGTCTAACCACCTCTTCCTTGGTCTTCCCACTGGATGACATCCAACCATAGTTCCACTACACATTCTGCTAGATCCTAGTAATGTTAGCTTCACAGTACCTAGGATTATTGTATCTGAAAAACGCTGTTGGGGTTTAACTGTAGATTATGGGCTACTGCATGCATACCAGCATTTAATTGATTCTTTGGTAATGTTTATGTACAGTGTATACAACAGTGTATATTGTAAACAATCTTGTTTTTCTTTAATTTATTCTTTCCAAATTTTATTAATCTACGATTTTTGTGAAATTTTTTAAATTTCAGTCCGAGAAAGAATTGTGCTAAATAATTTGGTGTAAATAATGCTGCTAAATACTTGGTGAATGTAGTTTAGAAAGAAGAAATGAGAACAGCATAATGGAAATTATGCTTAATATGAGCTGGCCAACTAATTATAAAAGAAGGATGTAAATCTGGAATATTCTAACAGCTCAAAGAACCCAACTATATAGCAACCATTGAAATATTTTACATATTTTTTCACCAATACGCCAGGAACTTTTGATATTGCCCTGGTAGACTCTTCTAACACAATCCATTAAGTAAATTTAAAAAATAATTACCCAAAAGAAGTCTTCCAATGGAGTTGGATGAATCAGGCCAGATATGCCATGGTAAACTGACAATCCTGTGCCTACACAAAAGATTCCAACACCTGAAATCAGTGATGCTACATACTTCATATTGGAGTAGCCATATGGATGGTACGAATCTGCAATCTAATAAAGATAAAGTAGAAAAAAAAATTAAAACAAAGTTTCAGCTTGAAAAAAAAATTAATTATATGAACATGGACATTTGTATTAAAATGTAAATATTGCCCTAATGGTTTATTCTATTCAAGGAAACATCTATATTTACCTGAACAGACTTGTGAATTCCATAAGCTAAAATAAGCTGGTTGATTGTATCTGCTAAAGAATGAATACATTCTGAGAACATACTGTGGGAACCAGTGTATACCCATGCACATAACTTAAATAAAAAATTTGTTCCATTTCTGTAAAAATAACAATGATAACAAATAAAAATGGGTTTTAAGACTATTTGTGACATACATAACTACTGCTGTAAGAACAACTTTTCCAGATCTTCCCATCAATCCACCATCATCTTCTATTATATCTGCAGATTTGCCCATTTCTCGTCGGAAATCTCTAAGTCTTCGTTTAACAGTAAAAATATCTACAAAAATAAGTTTATTCAACACTGGTAACAACTAGTCAGTTAGATATGGAATATCAATGTTTTAGTACATAGGAGTACTGTAAAATTCAAAAATTATGTTTTCTACACCCTACTAGACAATTTTTATATATTTTTCTAAATTACCTAATGAGACTGTATATACTAACTTTGCTGATATTTCTTCTTCTCAATATCCCTCTTCAAAAGTTCCCTATGAAGATTTTCATGTGTTCCCCATATTTCTAATGCTTTGGCTTCCACATCTTTCCTCCAATAGACTGTTATTGGAGGTTCAGACTCATAAGGGGACCTTCTTTTGGTTTTTGGTAATACTTCTAGATCAGATGGCTTTAGGAGAAAATCAGACATAGCCTTCACAGGTGTTATGAAGTTTCTTTCCAAGGATTGAGCAGATAGATCAATCCTCTTTCTTTTCTTAGGTGGAGTTTTTGCTAAAAATACAAAAAAATTAATACCTTTAAAATAGAGTTCCCCAATCAAAACTTTGGAAAACACAATTTTAAACGTACCTTTCTCTGTTTCTTTTTCCCCTTTCCCAATAATTTTATCTTTCAACTTCTTAATTGAATCTGCAGATAGTATTTTGGGATTTTCTTCACTTTCAGGTTGAAGACTCTTTTCTTTGACATTTTCCAGGACAACTGTTGTTTCTTTTTTACCTGCAGTCAATTCGGATGAAATTACTTCCAGTACTGGCTTTGCCTTCTTATCACTTTTATTCTGAACATTTTTGATTTGGCTTTTTAGATCCTCAGGAGATTGGTCATTAAAAAATACTTTTGTCCAGGATATAGAACGCCAACCATTTTTACCATCAAATTTGTGAAGATAGATTCTATGTTTAGCTAAAAATAAGTTGGGTCATTAAAATAATGCTTCATACTGGCTGAATAGACAACTTTACAACTATCAAACTGGCAATTTTGTCACATAAATATATACATTGGTATTGTCAAAAAATTTAATAATATGGTTATTTTATGCATGAAATTTGTTGTAATTAGCTAAGAAACGATTATAAATAAATGTAAGTCCAAAACAATTAAGAATAGACCCGATATGAAAGTCTCTTTAAGATGAGAACTTTTGTGTCACAACTAGCTAACAAAAAAAATAAAGTAGTTACCATTTTGATGAAAACAATTCTTTTCGTATAAATTTACCGTCTGATTTAAAACATGTCTTGAAAGAATTACACAGTTTCGGCTTAACATATTAAAAAAAATTAATCAAACTTTAAGGTTATCCATTTGTTGACAATATTTATAAAACTATTCTTTTGAAAGAAGATTTGACTCTGATTTGACATTGACAATTTGTAACCTGGATTGTTTTGAGAGGTTAAATATTTGTGTTTTTATACCAAACAAAAGTTTTTATATCTCAGAGATCAATTTTTATCTTTTCAAGAGGAAATATCTATAATATGTCGAAGTAAACGTTCTCAAGCAGTGAAACTATGCATACTAAGCTTTATTTAGGAGTACTAGTGTCTGTCATACTAGGAATAACATTTTCATGTCCATCATGTTTTTCATATATTTTATTTGGTCTATTACTTATTGTCAGTATTGTTCTGGGGATTTTCACTGCTTTTTGGTTAAATGTATATCTGTCTCTACCTCATAAGACTACTGTAGGAGCTGAACACCATTTGAAGCAGGCAGAAAATTTTAGGAGCAGTATTGTTGTAAGTATATTCCTTTTAATTTGATTTTATGGAAGGTCAGTTTTCATGGAAACATTTCTTCTTTTAGTATTTATATCTTGTCCATATTATCCCATGAGATATCAGGTCTTATATTAATTAAAACATTGTTTTAACAACTGTTTTTCATAGAAACAAAAAATAGATCTTTTAAAGAATTATTATACATTATTATATGCTTGAAGTTATGTTTTCTGCTTGCATCTACACTATTAAATTTTTCAAGTACTGACATTTAAAGTGAACTCATACAAGACCTTATTTTCTTCACCATTTATAACAAAGACAACTTAATGTTTTTATTATATATTTTTTAGATGGACTATGAGTCCTCTCCTGCAGTAAAGAATGTGAATCCACAGCTGCCCCAAATTTTTGGAAAAACTGTAGATAGTTTGCTCCAGCAACTGTTGGACTTTGTATTAAGGGATTATATTTTGGTTTATATCAAGGATTACACATTTGAAACAGATAATTTAGGAAATAATATTAAGTATGTTCGTCTTGTTTTACTTGTAATCAAGATTTCACTGTAAAAATTAAATTTTAATAATAAAAATCTGATAAGATACTTATATTTATATGATTCATTGATAAAAAAATATATTGATTTGAGCATCAGAATATTTAATTAAGCTAATTAATGCTTTTTATTGTTATTGTGTATAAAATGTTTTTCACACACTGCCTTTCAGGTTAGAAAGTTTTGTTAAAATATTATTTATTTTAAAAATCTTGCAATCTGAAACTGTGTTTATGCTTTAGGCATTGGTATTTTAAAATGTGATGACCTTATATACACAACATATCACAACATAAAAACATTTTAATTAGGTATTTTATTTTTTCTCTTATGCTGTTTTAGGGACGATTTCTGGGGAGCAATAAATAATCTTCACGAAAAGTTATCTTCCGTTGATCAGGCAAAATTAATAGCAAGTGATATTGTACTAAAAGTTACAACACATTTTGAAAAGATACGAGAAGCTAAGGCCCTTGTGTAAGTAAATATCTTTAATATATTTCGTTTATTCTTTAATAAATGTTTTATTTATTTCCATGACTATACAATGTACTCTAATGGATTGGAAAGAATTTTTAAATAAGGTGCCTTAAATATGATAAAATATATCGACATAGCCCTGATTACAGTTAGGCATATTACCTTTGATCATATTAGGTCTGTTCATTTGTTTTCTATGTATCACTAGTTCTAAAAAGTGTAGAAGTGCTACACTAAGTTGTTTTTTTGCAAGGTGTAGTGCTACACCACAAGGGCGAACTGTTGGGGTAGGCCAGGTAGGCGCTGACTATCCTGTTCACTGTTCAAATGTACAATAATAATTTATTTATTAATATAAATTACTAAATTTAAAATTGTGATTAATAAATTTTGACTTAATACCTATTTAAAATAAAAAAGCTATTTTTTTATATTCTCTTCAAAGTTAATTACTGTATGCTCTTCGTAATAGTGAAAGGCACATCAAATTTTGCCTGCAAATGGAATAAAATGTATATATGTCTCTCTGTCTTACACTTAGGTACAATCAGCACATCTAACAATTCAAAATGGAATGAGTTAATTTCAGTTTTCAATCAAATTATCAAAGACGAAAATTCAGGAGCCGAAAATAGTGGTCGAAGATATTTCCAAAATTATAAAAATTTTGAGTTTGCTTTTTTTTGTTTGTCTTTATAACGAAATATTTAATATAACTTACATATTGTACACAATTTTACAACTAAAATGTTTAGATATAAATTTGTGTCAATAAGAAATAGATATAGCTTTCGGAAGAATAAGACAACTTTGTAACGATCAGGCTTTTATCGACTGACAGCTTTGTCTTTGCTTTCAATTGAGAAGGATTTTATTTTCAATTTGACTAACAATGAAAAATTTTATGATACAATTATAAATATGGCATCTGCCAAAGATAGGCGCAATAATTTAATTTAATATTTAATATTTATAAAATATTTTTTTTCCATGTCTTTACTATTGAAGTTAATTTCATATCTATATTTTTAGAGAGGATTCTGACCTACCTCCAGTCTTTCATTTATCTCCACATGTGATGTCATCTGAAAAGGAAATAGAATACTTGCGCACAGTTAGTGAATTAATGATAATGTTTCTATTACCAAGAACATACTCCCTATCACCTACTAAATATTTTCTACGTGAAGTATTATGCTGTAAAGGTAGGTACATTTTAATAACTATTAAATGATTTTATAAACAATAAACATAAAACATTTTGTATATATGTGTCTACTATGTGTGTCCAGAAAGTAATCTTAAAAATGATTAAAACGCAACTCAGCAATATTGGCAATATCATTTTAAAGTCGTCTACTTTAAAATGTATAATATATGTGTGAATTATCAATATAAATGAGTCAGATAAAATTAAATTATTAGAAGAATTTTTCACCAAATAATAAAAACAAAATTTGTTTAATTTTTTAATGTTTGTATTTTAAGAACAATTTCCGAAGTGGAAATTGAAACGTTAACAAACTTAAAAAGGTTGTGTAAAACATAGGGATTTTTTTTCAAAGTTGGCGTATGTGACTGGTATTTATATATTTATTGTAGTATTCAAACCACTGATAGACACTCTAACTGACCCTGATTTCTTCAATAGAAACATTATCAATTACATTGAAGCTACACAGATGCAAGTGAATTTACCTAAGAAAGTTTTGGAAAATGCAAACAATTTTGAAGAACTTATTGATAAAATTGATGATGTACAGGTTTTAAGATCAATTAGGTAAGTCACTACATTAATTATTTTGTTTTATCACAATTAGAATTAGATTTTTATTCTAGTAAATTTGAATATTTCAATATACATTAAATTACTATATATCTACCACTTTCAAAGCGATTTTTTAATTTTGTAAGCTTCTTATTTCATCAGAAAAGTAGAACGAAATAACTAGATGACTTACAGCTAGTTCTAGTAGTTTAATCTTTCTGCTCCTACTCATCACTAACTTGAACCTAATAGTCTAAGATCACACTGCAAGATCACTACATTCATAATTTAGTTATAAAAACTCACATTAATTTTTGAACTAAAATTTGATTTCATTCAATAATTTTTTAAATAAAATATGCTGCTAAGTTTTTAACAGGTTTGCTGCCAACTTGGTTACAGTAATATCTACCCAGAACCCACTAGCTATTATTGCAATAGATGTATAAAATAAGTCACCTTTGACTTAGTTTTGACATGTTTGGAAGATATCTGTCAAACTGACAGCTTTAGACAACTGTCGTGTGAACAGGACATCTGTATATTGTGTCAATATTTATTCCAGTTACCAGCATCCAGTTAACTGGACACACAGAAAAACTGATTGTGACAGGAAACAGAGAAAAATGTCATTACTACAGAATAAGTATGGGAAATGTCACTTTCTTTTATTGTACCTTTGCCTGCTTATACAACAACATTGATAATAAACCCATCACTAGTAGTTAGTACATATAATTTTATACCATACTTATGGCTTTTGTTGGCTAAATACTGCTTAAAAGATAATCTATGATAAACTGGCCCCTGCCAGTTTATCATAGATTCATCTATTGATAAATGTGGTCCGGGGTAGAAAAGTTTTTTGATATTTGCCAATATCATGTTTAAAATTGGACGAACTTTAAAAATTATATCAGTATGATCAAGATAATCGTGATTAGAAAATCGTAACATTTTTAGAATAATCTGTAATCTGTTTCTGGGCATCGTATGTCCAAAAATCAGATGATATTATACGGGATATTTACTCCACTGTTTCGAGAGCCGTGGGAAAACTACTGTGCTACTGAAAAAGTTTATTGGACCATTGCTTTTCTCTTAGCGACCTACTATTACGACGACATCGAATTACCTCATTACCTCTTCTATTTGTTTCATTTAGTACTTAGTTCAAAAATATTGTCATCCAAAAATTGATAGAATTATTCAGCAGGTTGCGCTTCAGGCGTCAAATTGACGTTGATTCGAGGATCTCCAATAAAAGGGATAATAAAATTATCAACAGGGTCTTCTTCCGTATCCATCCAATCATGATTTTATCATTATTGGGTGGGGTGATACTCTTGGAGAATTATCTGCTACTGGATCTTCATTTTGGGTATCAGTGTCACAGAAAGGTAGAGGTTCATTTTCTGCTGCATTAAGCTAGTTTAAATTGCTTCTACTGTATGCATTTGAGGGGCAGTAGTTCTTATCAGCTACGTCATTATTAGAAAAATCCCATTCAACTTCACTAGAGTTATCCCAATACTTTTCTAATTCTGCCTGCGTCACGGTTTCTTTCTATCATCTCTAATTTCACCCTTTCTTTTTTTAGTAGACCGCTTGGCCTGAAAACAAATAATATTTTTGATAAAAACAGACTACGTGAATTTGAAGAAAAATAGAACAATCTGGCAACATCGCATAATATACTGATAGAATCTACTTAGTGGGAAAATAATACTGCAAAGTAACAAACACACAAAAAGATATTTCTATTTTACTCCATTTCTCACACCCAAACTCACACCCAAAAGAAACATTAAAAATTCATAAATATTTACACCTAAAACAATATAATATGCTACAAATTACTCTTATACATCAAATTCTCATATTCTGATATAGCCACGAAACCACCTCTAATCTACATAATCCCTGAAACCAACTCAAAACTTAATAAACTGAATAAAAGTACTTACCCTGGCATCTTCAAATCGTCTCTGTTAGCACTCATCGCAAAAAAATAGATCACTACTCGCAAACGACAAAATTCATACTGATTTTCATTGATTTATAATGTACATGCGGTACAATACAGTCTGCAAGCAATTTTCAAGTACTTGAAAAACTTGACGGTGCATATTGAAAACTCAAGGCCGAAAATATGGGTTACCTAAAATATTTCTAGCGCAAATTGTAGGCCAGAGCCCGTTTCAAAATCTGTAATATAGTGCTAGATTCCACCGTTTAAAGGAACACTTATATTTAACATTAAATGGGCTTCCGGTTAACTGGACGTGGACTCTCATTAGAAACAGGATACAGGACGTTGGCAACCAACCTGTTACTATGATGAAATAAGGTTGCTAAAAAAAAATAGTCACAAATTGGGGTTGCCAGCTCTTATAAACGCGGTTTATCAAAGATAGTCCAAGGTAGTCGGTAGTCCGATAATCAGCTGTAAGGTCTACCAGAATATTAAACTAATTTGAATTTTAGGAAACTGATATTTTGAAAACTTCAATTCATTACAGAAATATTTTTAGGGAAATTAAATTAATAAAACCTTATATATACCTAGTAAATATATATAAAGTTTTATTATTATTTAGGTTATATTATCAATAAAATAATCACTAGAGTAAAATTTATTGCACTTAAAATACAGTGTCAAACAGTTAATCTTACAATCAAATGCAGTCAAGAATCTCTAGAAATTTTAAATATTAAGTACCTAAGCATATAAATAACACAATACATTAACACGACATTTAAAAAGATTATTAAAAATACAAAAGATATAAAATTTGTGCTAAGTAAAAACTTAGTGTAACTATTATGATTAAAAAATTCATCCTAAGAAATCAGACACAATATAAATATGGTTCTAAATTAATCTAATTGAAAATTAAATATTTTACTATTTACTTATAACTTTTGTTGAATTTTCATACTTAGATATACAAAAGTAGCAATTTTAAATATGAATAGGTTTGTTGTCATATAGACCAAGTTAAAAGAGGTATACATGAAAAATGTGTTGAATGTAACATACCATTTATAACTTGTATATCGATTTAAAATAGCCTATATTCTCAAAAGATTTTTGAATGTAATACTCAAATTTAAGTAAGTTCTCTAATTGTGACCATCTTGTTAATTTAATATATTGTAAAATCCATTTCAAGTCATTACCACTTAATCTATTCTTACCTACATTAACGATTACACTAAAATTACTGCTAACTATTACACTACATATTACACAAATATTATCACACTTGTGTTCCAACTGATTAATGTTTAATACATAGAAATATACACAGTCACTTGTAATTTTACTTGTCCAGTTTTTCAATGGGATATTATTGTCTAAGTCTAATTGACATAATTATGTTATCTCTTGTTCCCTCTTCTTATGCAAAAAGTTTCTTCTGTCTTCGGGATTCCTTCTTTCTTTAGTACGATGAACAGTTACATATGATGGTACTTCAGGAAATATATTAGGAACTGCATTGCCTTTTAATTTGGGAAATATTAACTTTTCAATGTTCATGAAAATGTTTGGCACATACTACGGAAGATTTGGTAATTGTACAGCCTTCTCTATGAATAGAGCATAAGCCAGTATACCTTCTTTGGGGATCTTTTGGAAACAAAAACATACTTTCTGCCTGTTTCGTTTTTAAAGTACTGGCATAATTGGTTTTGCAACCAGGTACACAACAATGCCAGAGCATCTGTAACAAAAAACAAAAGTATTATTATTGTTGTTTTTAGTTTACATATTTTGTAACAAGAAGCAAAAGTATTATTATTTTCAGTTTGTTTTGTAGGTTATATTTATACTTGCCTTTTAAATTGTCGTTAAGAATCTTCTAAAAGTTCTAAATTTAATGAAATTTTACTTATATTAATATTTTCTAATTGATTTAAACACAATTTACAAATAAAACATTCGAATAAAGTTAAAAAAACAATAAATTCAACAAACTTTACAAGCCTTCCTATATGAAATGTTAAACCAAAACAAACCACAGTCGGACTACCACGCGTTGTTGCCAAATTTCTACTTCATGGCTTGGAAGTAAAGGTGGCTGTGGCAATAGTCATCGATTATAGATTTTCCCAACACCGTTTTCTGGTTGAATAACTAAGATATTGTTTTAAATTTCCGGGAGATGAACAAGGGAGTGCAGAATAAAAAACGATAGTGCTTTCTTTTGTTAAAGGCATCTGGCAATATTTAGACAAACACTTAGATCTTGTTTATTCTTGTTTGAAATCGTGAATGTTTTATAAATGTATTGAGTAAAATCAATATGAAATTTTTATGATATACGTAGGGCATAAAAATGCTACAGGATAATTGCATAAAACTAAGATAGTGTTGTATCAATCGCGATTGATTCGTTCGTTTTGATTCAATCACTTCAAAGTATTGAACGACCGAATCCCGCTAGTTTATAATGATTCCATCGCGCGGTGATAAAAATCGATTGATCGACCACAAACGGCTCCGATCGAACAAAATCACACAGCCAATACCTTCATTACTTTCGGTCCTCGGTCGTTCCTCACTTGCGACCAAGATCGATATGATATATGCCACGCGGCTGATTGATTGTTCGTGAGAATGATTGAAAAATTAAAATACTAAATATTTATCTAAGAATTACGTGCAGGGCAGGAACTTAACTACAGACCGGGAGTATTGGAATGGGAAAATATTCTACCGGGTTCCGGCGATTGCTTTTGATTGTGTTGTTAATAGTAGGTAGTTAAAATAATAAAATATCTATTAGCACGCCTTTTAAATAAAGCTAGAGCGAGACCAAACGTTTAAATGACAATAAATATTTATACTTTGATGCAGCACATAATTCCATATAAATTTATTATTATTTTTGAGTTACACTAAAGAACATAAAAACAAAAACCCAATAAATTGTAGCTTCTAGAATAATTTCTTAAGAATCTATACGAACTAAACTTAAAAAAATATATATTTAGGTGATTAAAATAAACGTGATATTCCAATAATTTACGTGAATCTGAATACATATGAAATACTGTAAGCAATGGTCTCGGTTTTTAGTATATTCAGCTCAATCAATTTGTTACTTGTTATTTCTTTTAAACGACAACGAAAAATATCGAAACGAACGAACGATTGAAATGATTCGATTGTATTCGGAGTCGTTCATTGATTGATTCTGTCCTCGTAAAATGAATGATTGACATAACACTACATAAAACATACAGAATACTTAATTCGATAAGAGTAATTCGTTTTATTATTATATTTACTATACTTGAATACTCAAGGTCTCATATTATCGTCATTATTTCTGTAGATACACCATTGTCACGAAACTCATGCAAGCTACCACCCTGCAAAACTTAAACAGAGCCAAAGGCGTGGATCTCGACAATGATAAGAACATATTATCATCAGCTGGTATACCAAAGTCTGATATAAATGCAGCGAAGAAGCTTAAAAAACATATCAATCAGTTAACGCTAGCGAAAAAGAATTGCGAGAAGAAATTGATCAGTTTAGGTTGGGATTCTGGGTACCAGTACGGCGAAGAGATGAAACGAGTAAGTAAATTATGTTTTCTCCTTCCAATCTATACATATTAACATATAGGTAGTGATTATAAATGTTGTTTTTCTTCCAGAGATCGTATTGCCCTTTCTACGTTGTCTCTCCATTTATTCTTGTTTTTGGTTACATTGACGAAGTTTTTGTTTATTTTTTGAAAGTATAAGTCTATCGGTTTGATGGTCGTCCTCGACTTCTTGCCTCCGGTTTTCATTTGACTATTAGTCTTTCCATATAAACGTACGTTCTTTGTCAAAAGAATGTTAATACTTTGAATATATGGAACTGAAGAGACGTTGTGGATTGTTATTAATTTCAACAAGAATAGATGTATTTGTTCTTCTAGCTGTTCAAGGAATTTGAAACATTTTTCTCCAACACTAAATGTCAAAAACCTTCTTTTCCTATCTACCGTTCGGATGGTCCACGTTTCAGAGACACGGCTAAATATTGGGGAAACTTTTGTTTATAAAAAATTGATCTCAGTATTTTTTTATGTGTTAGGTATGTGGTATATATTATGTAACAGTTTTAGGGATTGTGGGCTACGCCTTTAATTGCTTTTTTTTTTTTTTAATTTTGACTGTTAGTTTTATTGACAGATTCTGTTCAAATGATTTAGCATTTTCCCCTTAGATATGTTAGCTTCTGTTTAAACTACCTTTACGGGAAAAATATGTAAAGGTAATGGATTTTCTAAAGAGCTGTCATGTTGACGTTGTAGATGGTTGCGTATCTAACTGGCAACGATGCACTGGAAAATTAAAGTAAAAACTGAAAAAGTCCGACACATTTACATATGGTTCCGTATGGTAGCCCAGGCGAAGTGCAACCTAAGTCATCATCGTCTTCATCATCCGAAAATTCACTTTCACTGTCACTTGTGTCCTCCCCTAAGTTTACTCTCACTCTATCCATAATATGTTCTCTTTCTAAAAATTTATCAATGAAAGTGTTCATAAAGTTGATTTATCAATGAAAAATTTATCAATGAAAGGAATATATTGTATTGATCTCATGATAATCATAAAAAATGGCAAAAATCTCGTCACGATTATTTATTTTAAACCCTTTATAAAAACTGCGTTTATTTGCGGCAAAATGCAAAAATTGCATACGAAAGCTGAACTCTTTATCTTTAAAACGAATATTGATTTTTGTCGATAGGACACTTGGATCAAAAGATACCGAATTTTTATCGTCGAGCTAATACAAATTTTATTGAACATTGATATCGCGCGTAACTGACATTCAAAATCGACAGTCGCTTCAAGCGTTGTTTGTGAGAGAACCATTTATTCTACACAAAAAGTGCTAATAAATATTTTTGTTTAATTATCTGAGCTACATTTTTTATTTGAAATATTTTTTCTGCGGCGTACAGATTCTTTGTCAATCAATTTTTTGAGTTTTTAAACTCCTTACGAGGGGGACTTTAGAGGGAAGTTTTAGGGGGAAGCCCGAGGATAAAAGTGGTAAACTTTTTTGCATCTTTTTTGGGGTCCAAAATTAATATTCTATGCAAAATTCAGCTTACTGCATACGCAGTTCGCATGATTTTTAGAGGTTCCATGTCCATATTTCCACGTCTTATTTATAACAACAGAAATTAAAAATTAGTTAACAAAAAGACTTATTCAGTAAAGCTATAATTTTTTATCAGTTTTTATATACCATTTAAATCAACATTTTTATTATTAAAGTTAAAATACCAGAAGTAAAATTTTAATATATTAAAAATGCAATAAAATAAATACATACCTTACTTTCCAATAAATTATTTCACTGCCCAAAATATTTTCAAAAATTGTTGTTTATTCTAGTCACTAAACTAACAATTAAAACTAAAATCTATAATAATTAATTAAAAAGGAAACAAATTTTACTGCACTATTAATATTTGTAGTCGAAACAACATGAACGATGAACTGTCAAAGAAACAATTTATGCATCGATATACCTCGTAGCTCTTTAGAAAATTCATTACGTCTAACTAGCTATATTGGTGTAATCGTTGATTTTGCAGATCGTAGTGTAATGTCGTCAGGTTATATAGCAGCTTTTCTCTACCTGGATCCATCCAAATTCCTTGGTGTTGGGTAAAGACGCATTGTTCCTATGTAAAGTCGCCATCATTGCCTTTAAAAAGATTCGTACATTACATCTGAATCTGCAACACTGTGCAACACAGTACAACTAAGCTATTTAGGGCCGTTGACAAGTAATATTTAAGCAACGTAACACTTGGATATAGAATTACTTCACTGAACTAGTGTTTAATTCATTAACTTACTTAATATTTCGCACAATATAAAATCGTATAATGTATACATTTAGCCGATATATTACTAAAACTCATTGGCTAAAACTGTTAAAATATGTTTTTGATATTGTATCATGTACATTCGACTTTTCCCTGTGTAAGTTTCTCTAGACATTCTTTGCCCAAAACAGCATATTATTTATTCTGTTGCTTGTTTTCTTAATATTTTGAGAAAGTGCAATATTTGCTGTGTGGTGGATCAATTTGACTACACTGTCCATCGCCGCTGTCCGTGAGAGTGTGCAGGAGATTCCGAGGAAGTCGATTTCACGTCGCTTACAAGAACTAGTCCTTTGACAGACCACAAGTTTGCTAATTTTGCATCGTCACGTAGATATTCACGCGTACAAAATCCAACTCAGGATCTGAACGTAAACGACCATAAACACCGACGTATGTTCGCTGAACGTGCTCTCGAGCAATTGGAAACTGCCACTAATTTCATCTTCAGCGATAACGTCCATTTTTAGATGAATAGGTACGTCAACAAACAGGATTCTTAAATTTGGTTCGCTACCAATTCAGATGAGATCCAAGAGCATCCAATGCATTCGAAAAGTCACCGTTTGGTGTGGATTTTACGAGGCGTCATCGGTCCTTATTTCTTTGAGAAAGACGTTGTCCAGGTCATCATCGTCAACTGTGAGCGCTATAGGTTATAAGTCGATGATCACCAACTTTTTTTGGCCTGCACGGGATTATATGAACACCAACGACACTTGATTTCAACATGACGGTGCTACGTGTCACATTGGAAATTCTGCATGAGCGATTTGAGGGCATAGTTACCTTATGTAGTGGTGATGTAAACTAGCCACCTTTAGACTTTTTCTTGTGAAGTTTTCTTAAGTTGCACCCACATTTGAACGGTGTAATATTATATATATATATATATATATATATAGGGTAGGTGGGGGTAAAAGTCCGCATTTTACATATATGCAATATTTGCCACACTTGTGATTGCAGTATACATATTAAATTTGTCGGGCCATTAGGATAACTAATGCCCTTAGCTGTAAATATAAAATGACAGCTAAATAGATGTAAGAAAAAAAACTATACCTCAAAGTACAATAGTTTACAAATCGGATTCTTGCCCCTTTAATCGGGGCAAAAGTCCGCATAGCGGATCTTTGCCCCCTTTGAATAAAAATAATTTTATAAAAATAAAAATTAACAATGTATCAAATACAAATCTTTATTTTGTCAACAAACATTATCTAAAAACTTATAAAAATACAAACAAGTAGATATATGACCTAAACGCAAAAAGATAAAAAAGTAAAAGAAATTTTTGAAAGGTGAAACATTTTTTAGGTTACAACTAGTGCAACATTAAATCACTTAAATCGGTTGAAAAGCTCACAAAGTCCTTAAATCTAGCAGAACTGCCTAGCAATGGCTTGGAAAGTTTCCTTATAATGTCTGTCTTGTTAACAAAAAACTCTTCGTCAGTTTCTGAAAAACGCATTGTATTGGGTGCCTTTTATAATAAATACCAAGGTAACCATCATCTACCATTACAGTAATTCGCATAACATACATTCGAAATGAGTCCTTGGTTTTGCCGTAAACTTTTACTATAGCAAACTCTCCTGGACTTAATTCGGATAATTCATTTTTAACATCACTTTCAGAAAAACTTAAATTGCTGCTACTATCATGAAGTGATATTTGCGCGTCCGAGTCAGAAGAATATTCATATTCCTTTTTATTTAGTACATTTTGTTTTTCTTTAAATACTTTTCTTACTATATTTTTATTTTCCTTAATGCTTTCCTTCCTTTTTTTCTCGTTTATTTTGTTTTTCTTCTCCAGCTCTGAGATTTCCATTTGCTCTTTATGTGGAGTAGATGTCAGAAGTGTAGATTTCAATCCTTTTCTTGTTCTTTCAATATTTCGTTCTTCTGCTTCACCACTTGGTTCTTCTGCTTTATCATTTTCCTGACTTTTGTCTTCATCAAATACAATCCTTAATTGTGTATCTTTATTATTTCGGTCAAGATCATCTACTTCTTCTTGCTCTTGTTCAGTTACTGAAGAAGGTAAAAAATCTTCCTCAGTAAAGATATTTTCATCTAAAGGGAAAATACCTGTCATTTTAAATCCATTAACAGCTTTTTCTATAGTAGCAGTTTTCTCATAGGCCTGCTTGAATAATCCAGCGACGTGGTATTCAGTGACTACTTGCCCGGGATTAGATGTGGTCCAATTATCACACAAATCATCATAGTAAGCTTTTAATGGCCTAAAAAAGTTTCTGTCCAGTGGTTGAGTTCGATGGCTGCTATGAGGTGGGAGGCTGAGCAAATGGATGTTATTATTTTTTGCGTAAGTGATAGCTTCTAAAGTGGTATGGGATATGTGGTTATCCAAAATTAATAGCACTGGGCTTTCAGCGGTAGGATTTGTATATTTGCGAAAATGCCCCAAAAATTTAAGAAACTTAACTGAATTCATGTATCCAGAATCAGTTACAGCCAAAACAGAACCAGTTGGAGCGTCCTTTATCAAAAGAGGATTTAGTCTTTTGCGTGCGAAAATAAAGAATGGTGGAACATAGTGTCCTGTTGCACTCATAGAACATGCAGCTGTCACAGTTTTTCCTTGCTCTGCAGCTACATTTTTTGCTACTTCTTTTTTTCCAGTGGGAGCAACATGTTTAGGTAATTTATTTGGTACTGTTTGTAGACCACTCTCATCCATGTTGTAGATTTTATTCGCTGGAAATTTATATTTCTCCAAGACAGATTTTAAATTTTGAAAATACTGTGTCAATTGATGTTTGTTGAACCCCATGGTCCTAGCTACACTGGTTTTTCGTGGTGTACGTAGTGAAAGGCGGTTTCGTTTCATAAAATTTCTAGTCCAATCTCTACCTGCTAGTTTTGATTGCTTAGAAAATTGATGCTGGATACCATTTCTTTCTGCAAACTGATATGCCAGAAAACGAAGCGATTTTAGGGTAAGCCCATAGAAACGTAAGTCTAAAGCTTTACAATGGTCCACTATTTGCTGTTCCTGCTCTGGATTAAATACAGGTCGAAATCTACCCAAGAAATTAACGCTGCTGTCCGCTTTTAGCCTCTTTCGAATGGTAGATTCATCATAGCCGAGAGTTCCACCTATTTCTCGTATTGATAGACCTGTTTCCTTTAAATGTTTAGCCTGCATAAAAACATCCTCCGTAAATGGTCTCAGGTTCTGATTTTTTCTCTTGTACGTCCTAAAACAAAAACGTAATTTTTACAAACAAAGAAAAAAAAAACGTAATTTATACGAACTTTGAAGTAAAATTCTAGGTAATAAACGAAAACGTGCTTAGTGAGGCAAAAATCCGCATGCGGATCTTTGCCCCTTCCGGCATGCGGACTAATACCCCAAAATTCACTATTAATTTTAGCTAGGCAAGTTTGGAACAACCTAACCTCAAATTAAAGATTTTGTTTCTAAACATTATTTACAATAAACCGGATTACATAAATTAGTTACCAGACTTTTTAGAAAAATAGTTTAACACATACAATCTTCAAAAGAATGATTAAAAAAATTAGATTAGAACACCAAAATTTAAAACTTACCTCATATTTTCGTTAACTACCGGCGCACGAAGCACGTGTAAAATCTGTAGCGCTGTTCCAAAGGTACTGACCGATCCAAGTGTGAGTCAAGTTAATCTATTCGCTCTGTGATCTAGAAAACGTGTGCGGATTCTTACCCCATGCGGACTTTTACCCCCACCTACCCTATATATATATATATATATATATATATATATATATATATATATATATATATATATATAGGTATAATATATTATTGATCTTTTGATCTAAATTGACTTACTTTGATTTGTACTTGATCTTTTGCTTTAACGATGTTGGAAAGGTCATTAAAGCTACTACCCATGTAGAATATAAGTTTTAGTTTTCTTGACCATGAAACAATATATATTTTTATTTTACTCAAATTAGTTTGACAGGGCCTATTTTTTATCTAGTAGTATGTATATGTGTAGACTAACACTTTTCAATCTACTTTTTTTTTTAGGTTTTATCACTTCAAACAATTTTGGAACACGTGTTAGGCAGAAAATACCTATCCCAGTTCTTACAAACGGTAGCCAGTAACGATCTGATCCGTTTTTGGTCAGCAGTGGAAGAATTACGCACATCTCAGAAGACAAATTGGCATCAAATCGGAGCTGAAATATTTTATACCTTTATTCGAAATCCTGTTTCTGAAATTAAAGTTGACAAGAACACGAAAAAGCGCATGGAAGCTTTTTTATTAGGTATGTTTGATGTTTGAAGGCTATTAGCCGAGTAATACTTTTGTCTAGTGTCTGTTGAGTACATGTCGCGTCACTAAGTAAAGTCGGCTGCATTTTGTTTACAAAGTATCGTTTATTATATCTATACCCTTCTATTTCTATTTTTCTTTGAATACGTAACTGTGAGTTCTAAATCACACACTGAAATTGAAGTTAACAAAATGTTGAGTCGTGGGGCCAACTGAGTGTATTTATTTTTGAAAAACAAAAATAAACTTTACGTAGAGTTTCTAGTTTTCTGTTTATTAATGTGGAAGATTTCTAGAGAAGGTCACATGGGCAATAAAACCAGCCTATTAGAAAGAGATGCAGGAACCTGCTTTACGTAAATTTTCTCTGTTGCACTGTGTGAACAGGTCTAAATTACAGTACTTAGTATAAGTATTATATTTATGTCTATGAGTATGTCTAGCAGAGAGGTTTCTTGCATTTATAAATATACAAAATAAATTCGATTTTATAGGAGACAAAGGACCTGAAGTTTTCTACGAAGTCCAAAGCCAAGTCGTTCAAACCATCGAAGACAAGTACTACCAACCGTTTCTAATCAGCGATTACTACAAAGAAATGGTGAATGCAATTGACAACGAAGAAAGCATAACTGACGAAAGTGGATCAATGGAAGAACGCCAGATTTCGACAGATTCTGCAGAAGGCGTCGAAAACACCTTAAACGTCGGAGATCATTCAAACTACGCTAGAAGGAAGTTAGATCAGTTAGAGGAGAAGTTAAATAACAAGACACAGGTTAGTATTTATTTAATGCTGTTAGTGTATTTACTTACAGGACGGATAATACATCATTATGTTTGCGTTATTAATATCGGACAAGATAATATACATTCTTTTACACAACATGTGAATTTATGTTTATACAAAAACATAATAGTTATTGTATACATTTAAACAAAGAAACATGTTATTAAATATATTATATAGAAGACAGTCAGAGACTATTTACAGTCTTATTATGAGACGTACACTAACAGTTTTGCACAAATAATGAAAAAAAAAAACGTATTTTTGCAAAAGATCAGCTTTATTAAGTTATGGATAAGCTTTAAGATCAATAAGGTATCTTAGAAATGAGATTTTTGTATGGTTCGAGCGCCTCGTCTGGCGTCCTAAAACGTTTACCGCGTAGGGAACAGGAACGCAAAGAAATCTCACGGTTCTAAGTCAGAACTGTGTGCAGGATTGACCAGCAAATTGGTTTTTTTTCGCATCCAAATACTCGGATTTTGTATTAGCTGTTTTGAGCTTGTTTTGAGGAGTTCATTAATCGCTTCAAATGTATGTGTACCATTCAGCATTGACAATTTTACCATTTATCTAACGAGATTGTGGCAACGTGTATGTTTTTTCATTGCTACCAGTGCACACTACTTTTGTTGTCTTTGGCTCGTCTTGACATATCCACACCGTTGATTGGTTTTTATTTCGGGCTCATAGCCATATTTCCATGTATACTCCTATTAATAGTGGTTCATCTTGTTGTTATTCCAGATTCTAGATTATCTGTTTCTAGAGCAATGTTGAGTATAAGGTATGATAGGCTATCTTCTTGTCGGAGTCCCATCTGTGTCTGGAAAATTCTTGATACTCTGTTTAACTCACTCGACTTAATATTGAATACTACCATGTCTTTTTTTAGTGCATTTCTTTGTACACTTTTATAGGCACAACTAAAGTCTACAAACAGATGGTGAGGAAAAACCAAAAACTTGTCTTAGCAGTAATATTTGATCGTTGATTTTTCTTTGAGAAACCCATATTTACCTATTATGTTTTCACAACATCCCGGTAGTCGATAAACCATATAGACCAGACCAGACCAGTTGATAAACCATATTTTGTAGGTTACGTTTAGGACGTTAATTTCTCAGGAGTTTTCACATATTGCTTGATCTCCTTTCTTGTGAATAGGTACCTTACCTACTTTCCAGTTTTCTGGTAGTTTTACCTGCTTCCAAATAAGTTTTACCAGCCTACATATACCATACGTCAGATTGTTTTGCGCCACGTTTTTAAAGCTCAGAAGAAATGCCATCAGCTCCATTTTCGTCCAATTTTTTTATTGCTTTGCTAACTTCTTTTGTTGGCTGTTATATTTCTCTCTTTCGTCATCCATGTCTTCGAGCTGGATATCTGCTTCTTGCAACCGTTTCTCACTTCTTATATTTAATGTATTCTCAAAGATTTCTGCCTATCGTTCTAGTATATGATCCTCATCACCAATGATCTCTCATGTTCTGTTTCTAATGGTTGATAATCTAGGCTTGAATTCCTGTCTGTGATGGTTAACTTTTTTGAAGTATTTTCGCTCTACTATTTGTGTGTTGTATTTCTCTAGTTATTTAAGTTGTCTTAGCTGGCTATACTCTTCCTCTACTTGTCCCGTTCTTTACCCATGGAATTTGATATATGCTTGATTTTTTCTTTGCACTGCTTGCACACATTTCTTATCGTATCAGTCTGACATTATATTTTCTCGTTCCAATCACTTCACTTGCCACCACTTCCAATATGGTTCTACACTGTCTCCAATTGTTGTTAACAACTATAACCCTATAAATAAATATAGGCACTGTTACTAGTTATTTTAAACATTCAAGAGAAAGTCGGTTATAATAGAATCATTTCATTTGCAGAAATAAAATATTATTTATTTACAAATCAACTGTATGGTTTTCGAAAAGGTCGGTTCACTGAGTTGGCAATAACAAACCTGTATAACAAGAAACTGACTGTTGGAAGAATTTGAAATTCAAAGCTTTTGAAATAGTCAATCACAAATTGATTTTCAAAAGCTGGAGGATTTTGGTTTTCAAGGACAATTTTGAGGACAATTAGAGTAGAGCCTTGAATTTAAAAAGAGCTTACTTGGACCATCGATGATTGTCTATGTATATTTTACATAATGGTTAAACTTACATATCAGAACAGACTTTTATTAAGCAAGATGTTCCGCAAGGATCCGTATTAGGGCTATGTTCATTCTATATGTAATCCGGGTCGTTCTTAGCAATTCAAATGAAGTTTTTCACTTCGCCGACGACAAATCAATTCTTGTTACTGAGTTTAACATGCAGCAGTTAGCACATACAGCCTTTGGATTTTCTATGCATATACATTCGTTACTAAATTACTTGAATTGATGATCCACTTGTAAATATTGAACTATCTTGTTACAATACAATATATTTCATTTCATATTACAATATCTTTCTGTATAGCGGTAGAAATGAAATATATTTGAAGCTACATTAAACAAGGGAAAGAATGGTATAGATGATAATTGGAAAAAGTATTCTGCAATACATATTTTATTTTTTAATTTTATTTCCAGGCTTTAGCTGCACTGAAATCATCAATGAGACCTGAATCTAAAGTTTTAAGTAAACTGGAAAAAGAGGTGGAATGGTTAGAAGGTGAAAAGAGGCAGCTGGAAGCTCATATATCTAGAACAGAAATATGGGCAGATAATTTGGGTAGATGGAGAGCTTATGTGCAGTCCGCAGAGGTATTTATACTAAAAGAATGTCTATTTTTTTGTTTTTAGAATAATTTTAATATTTATAATATAGTAAAACTATTTGCAACTACAAAGACATGATATTTAGTGAATATTTTATTCTTCAATCATATACTAGGATATAGGACTAATTTCTGACATTTTTTTTTCTGATTTTTTATAATTAGTGTATATATCATATCTAAAATGTGTATGTATTATATTTAAAAACTGTATGGTTAATAAGAACAAATTGTAATAGCGGCAACTCGCAACCTCGTTTTAAATGTTTCACGGTTTAAGTACCTTTAATTTCATATTTAAGAATTGAACTAGTTGTCGTTTGAATTCCTTCTTCTTCGCGTAGCATATCAGAATTATTCGACGTTGGCGATCCCCATTGCGAAGGCTTCTCGATCTTTTGCAATATGGATTAATTATTGTCCTGCACTTGGTATCTGAGTCCATTCACAAATGTTTTTTAACCAAGAAACTTGTTTTCTTCCTACACCTCTAGGGCCCTATATTTTGCCTTTAAGGATCAGTTGTAATATTTTATATCGACTTCCCCTTACTATGAAAAATGTCCCAGATAAGACATTTTTCGATGTTTAGCAGTCTTTAGCAGTTCTCTATCTTTGTTGACGCTCCTTAGTACTTCTTCATTAGTTTTCCTTGCTGTCCAATGTATCTTCAGCATTCGTCTATGAACCCACATTTGAGTTCCAATAAAACAAAATATTTTCCACTGGCGCTTATTGCTGTGTTGCACGGCAATTTTTTTCTTAAAGTTGTCTTTCACTTTCACTTTCACTTTTTCCTAAAGTTGTCTACTAAAACAAGTATAAAAATTACAAATAAAGAGAACGTACAGTTCATTTAAGAAAAACAAAAATATTAGTACCCATGTTTAAAAAGGAATATGATATATAACCATTTTTAAAAGAACTCTGAAGTATTACGAACAAAAATCGATCGCCTGAAAAAAGAATCAACAAGTAAAAGTGAAATTTTATGTTCTAAACTTGGTAACAGCGCCGTAATTGGTTTTCAGATGCCAAATATATCGATGAACTTATCAGCACTTACTACGAAACTATAATCATTATCGTTCATTTTTGGACATAGGCCTCTCCCAACTCCTTCCATCGATCTCTATTCTGAGCAAGATACTTCCAATTGGTTGAACTTCTGGTCTTAGTGGCATTATACCCTTCATTATATATTCTGGGGTCTCTTTCGTTACAGTGCTCGGGATGGTATTTAGATACGTTTCTACTTCGGCGACTTTCCTATCCCATCGTCGATGTTGACCCTCTGTTGTAATCCGTAGAAACTTCGTCACTTTCTGTATAAAACGTTCCGAAGGATTACTCTGTGGATGTCTGATGCTAACAAAATTTGTCTCTATTCCCCGTTCTCGAAGTTGTCCCTTGAAACGATCATTTCTAAAATATGTTGCATTGTCTAGAAGAATCCTTCTTGGTGTTCCTACGGTGGCTATTCTGTTTTTTTTCATTTATTAAATCTTCATACTTTTTCAATATTACACGCAATTACTTTTCCTTTTCTTCTCCACATATCAATTTTCTTTCTTTTTCCTCAATTTCTTTACACATATTTATTTTGTATTCTGCCTCCTCCATTTCGCATACTTCTTCAAATACTACTGTTTCAATTGTACCTTTTTCGTCTTCTTTTGTTAATCTTTCTTCTTTTTCTTCTTCTGGGCTCATCTCTTCTTTTGCGCCCACTAAATTTACCTTAGGAATTTTGTAAATCAAATTCATTAAATTAACTTCCTCTATTAGTTTTCTGTTGATCAGTGTAATTTCCGATCCAGTATCAATCATAATTTTAATCGGTGTCTCGTTGATAAAACCATCTACAAATTTCAGATTTGCTCCACTTATTTTGTCCTTATTTTCTGCCAATTTAATAACTTCCTTCGGGTGACAAAAAATTCCTGTTTGTTTCTTTGTCTTTAGTGAGCGCCTTCGTGAAAAGACGCTTGCTGTTCTTGTTCGCTTCTACTTCTGTCGCTTTGTCTCTCATCCTCATATTCCTCTATGTGTGTGTTGTTGACCGCTCTTCTATTTTCTCTTGGTCTCTCGGACCCGTATCGGTTTCCGCGATTTTCCGGTTCATTCGTTCTATTATTATTTCGGTTTTCCTGATATGTGCGATTGTTGTTTCTATTCTGGTTCTCTCGATATCTGTTTTCGTTCCATTGCCGATTTCTTTGTTCATAATTTACTCTTCCGTTGTCTCTACTTTCGTTTTCCCTCCTCGGGACAAATTCTCTTTTTGTATACTCTCTCCTAAAGTTTTGTCCTCTATCTATATAGTCTTGATTTTCTCGTTGTCTATAATTTTCTTGCGTTCTCCTCATTTTTCTTTCTCTTAATTTTGCTTCTCGTATTTGTAAGAATTGACATAAACTGTCAATATCTTTGTAGTTTTGTAGAGTTATGTGATCTTCTAAGGTATCTTCAAAATGTCTGGCTATTAGTTCCACTAGCTGTTCGGACGAATAGTTGTAATGTAAGTGTCTTGCATTGTTGTATAGTTGTAGGGCATATGTTTTTTCTGATATACCTATACTATCCTGGTATCTCCCATTTTGTAATTCCTTGTTTATCTCTATTTGTTGTATTTTCCCCCAGAAATAATTCAGAAATTTTTGTTCAAATGTTTGCCAATTTTGTAATTCTTCTTCTTTGCTATCAAACCATAAACTTGCCTCATCTTTAAGATGGTTCCTTATCGTTTCCTTTGCTGTTTCGAAATTACCGATATGTCGTAATTTCTTTTTTAAATTGTTGATGAAAATTACCGGGTGTAATTTTTTTACGTCCCCGCCAAATTGTGTTTTTATGTCACCCGGACTTTGGATGAGTACCTCTATCCTGTTGTTTTCTAATATCCTCAATTTGTTTTTCTATTTCTTTCTTGTCTTCTTTCATTACATTTTCAAGTTTACTTTCTAATTCCTCCAAATTATCTTTAATTCTCATTTCTTGTTCTTTCATATCATTTTTAATTTCATTAATCTCTTCTATTTGTTGTATCAGTTCTTTCTTTATCCCCTCAACACATCCTTTCATTTCCTGTTCATAGTTTTCCAGATGCTGCTCTATATTGCTCATTGTTTGTTTTGTTTTCCGTTGGTTTTCTTCCATTTTTAGTGATGTTTCTTCCATTATGTGTTTTGTTTCCAGTTGATTTCTATTAATTTTCTTTGATGTTTCAATTTGGTTTTTCTCTATTGTTTGTGTCTGTATTTGCATCATTGCTAATAATTTTTCCAGCATCCCTGTTTCTTTTCTTTCCTCCATTATTGTAGCATTTCCTTCATTATCCGATCCTTCATCAATAACTGTTTCCTCTTCTATCTTATCCTCTTTCCTTTCTTGCGTTTTACTTTGACTCCTTGTGGTCGACATGTTCGTTAGATTATTTATCCCCGCCAAATATGAAATTCGAGTAATGTTGCAAAGACGAAAACTTTTCCTCTTATCCCAAACGCAATAAATTCAAATAAATAAAATTTTAAAACTTTTGTCAGTTGTAAAAATCAATCAAATATCATAAATTCTATCATGTAAAAATTTGTACCTAGAGAAATTTGAAATGTAATGTCATAAAAGCAAATATTATAAACTTTAACCATCGGCAAATAAATTTTCAATCAATCTGCTTTCTTTCTCTATCCGTTTAAATTTTAACTAGAAATACTTTCTACGCCTTACACGTTGGGGGCCATTTGTTATGATTGTTTATTTTGAGTTCAAACTTAGTTTATTGAGACAATAAAAAAGAATTATAACTTATTTGTTATCAAAAGTAAAATAATCCTTATATTACCTGTGTTCGATGGATTCAAAAGATTTTCTAGTTGTCTTTTATCGGGATAGAGAAGAAAAGGATAAGAATACAAATATATTATATTACAAAGATTTACGTTTCTTTATTTTATATGAACGAATAAAACAATTATTAAATTCTGTCGTTATCTTATCAATCAGCATACAAGAAAATAAATCAAATTATTATGATAATAGATTATAAAGCTACATACATTTATATTACGTGAAAAACCAATTTTACTTAAAATTTTCTTTACTTGAAAAAAGAAACCACAAAACTTTAAACTTTTGATTAGCCTAACAAAACCTCAGTTCTTAAATTTTAATGATAATGACCATGATGTCGAAACGATCCTTCACAGATATAAAATTCAATTGTACAAACACTTACAGTTTATTTTCTTCTTGAGTTGTATGTTGGAACATACCCAGAAAAGTCCAGTCTCCTCAAATATGTGATCTCCCCTCTTTGGCACCTCGGCTCCTTCTTTACGTCTCTGCAAACCTCCTTCAGACTACACAAAAAACACCTGATTCACTTCTCCAAACTCCGCTACTTATTTATGACACCAGGACCTCCTTTTGTCAACTTGCTGCCGTAAGAATACTTTCACATATACTTTATAAAATGCCCACGGTAGATACAAGGACCTCTTTTAATCCACTTGTTATCTCCTTCTTCAAACTATTCACTTCTTTTCGTTACGCCGGTATCCAAACTCACGAACCACACCCTATCTTGAGACAAACGACTGTTTCCTTTCGATGACCAAAATATGACTAACTTCTCCTCTCTCATGATCGACTCACCAAATTCCCATTTAAAAACGACCGTCCAATCAAAAAGCTTAAATTGTGTTTACCATGATTTTGGAAAAGCCTAATTTCGGTTTCAGAGAAAACTAAATAGCTTACTTTAAAATTGGTTTTTTTTTTCAATACATCATTTATACATATTTCAAAAGATTAAAATATGGTCATTTAATACTCGACTATACAAACAATGAAAAGATTAACTTACAGGTAAAATGTCTTCTAATTCTAAACAAAGGTTTTTTGATAATTTTGTTTGAAACGGAAAAAGGTCGTTTGCCAAACAAATATCTATTCTTATCTACACTAAATCTTATCTTAAATTACTATATACAATTTGTTTATATTGATATCTTGAAATTTTATTTCGATGGATTTTTTTATTTATTTTTCTTTGGTTGGAAAAGAAAAAGTATGACAATATATAGATATATATATATATATATATATATATATATATATATATATATATATATATATATATATATACAGATTGAACGAATTTAAAACGAATCATACAATTTAATATATGTCTGTTTGAACTGCATTTGAAATAGTGGACCAAAATAAAACTTGGACAAAAATAAATCCATACCTGGGTATAGACATTGTATAAAATATCGTTCAACTATCTGTCTCGCAACAATGTTACAATGTTGTTTGCGTAAAGGAAGCGATAATAGTCCAGGAAATGAAGCTCGAAAAAAGTTAAAACTTCGCAATTTTTTCGACCTGCATGCATTCAGTTGAAATTTTAACAGAAGGTAGGTGATAGCCCAAGAGATCAAAATCTATATCGAATTGAAGGGCGCTGAAGGGTTTTAGGGGTGAAAACTACTTAGGGGTAGTCAAAAATTATAAAATAACATATTAAACCTGAATATGGCTAAGATTTGGTTTGAATTAGTTAAATAATGATTATTTTATACTTTTGAATAGAGTTCCATCATATTTCAACCCTTAAAAAGCAACCCTTGTTAGAGATTAATGTAAAAAAATTACTAATTCTAAAAAATGATTTCGCTTTGGATCGATTTGGATAAAAATTTGGATTTAAGCTCAATTATCCCACTGCTTTATAGTTTATGTCATGTCGACGAACCCTGATTGTTCTTAGGGGTGAAAACTACCCCTAGTTGTCAAAAATTATAAAATAACATATTAAACCTGAATATGGGTAAAATTTGGTTTGAATTAATTAAATAATGATAGTTTCGTGCTTTTGAATAAAGTTCCATCATATTTCAACCCTTAAAAAGCGACCCTTGTTAGAGATTAATGTAAAAAAAAGTAGTAATGCGAAGAAAATGATTTCGCCTTGGAATGATTTGGATAAAAATTTGGAATTAAGCTCAACTCAACCTCTGCTTTATAGTTTATGTCATGCCGATGAACCCTGATTGTCCTTAGGGTGAAAACTACCCCTCATTTTCAAAAATTGTAAAATAACATTACAAATCTTAAGATGAGTGAAATTTGGTTTGGATTAGTTAAATAGTGATTTTTTTATACTTTAAAATACAATTTCATACATTTTCAACCCTTAAATATCAATTGTTATGAGTGCTATAGGTGAAAACAATTTTTTGCCAAAATTTTGCAACTTTTCAACTTTTGAATATCACCCTTTATAACATTGCAGTTTTTATAAACTAATTTAATAGATATAAATTGAAAAAAGTAGAATCAAATACAAAAAAAATTATCAACATAAAAAGGCACCATATATTCTTATACATTTACATAAATAGTTGAAAATATTTACATTTATAACAACAACAACAAAAGTTCATCGGGTGCAGGTTGTTTGTTCATGCGTACGGGTAATAACAAACCATCTTTGGAATACCATCCCCAATCTGTTGCTCTGATATTTTCATTGCCAAGCCATAGACATATGAGCAGATGTTTTATTCTGTTGTATGGGATTTCAAAATAAGAACGCTTACCATTTCGAATGTATAACGCCTCACTACCTAATATACCGGTTTTGTAGATTAATATGCTCCGAAATGTACTGTACCGTACTAATGGAATTTTCCGGAAAAAAAAATGTTTTTATTATGAACTGCTTTAGGTTTCAGATGAAAAAGAACCCCCTCAGTTCGTGTTGGTAGTGCAGATGGCCGAGGACGATTCCCCCGAAGGAGAAGAAGCGATTTGCACAGGGTGGGTCGTATGTAGAAATCTAACTCAATTTCAGGAGTTACACAAAAAATTGCGCCCTCTATGTTCAGATGTCCGTAATTTGGATTTGCCTACAAATACTTTCAAATTTCTGTTCGGAAAAAATGATAAAGTAACTCTGGAAAAGGCGAAACAACAAATACAAAAGTATTTGAATGTAAGTTATTAGTTTTTCTTAAATTTTCATATTTTTTATAATGTTCTTAGCTTTTGTTGGTGTTTTAATTTATCTTATCTGTTCTTTCATTTGATCATATTTCTTAATTTCTCTTAGTTTTTCTTCACTTTAATAGTTTTTCTTTTTTCATACACGTAATTATAGTTTTATTACCTATTCTTACTTAATTTTAGATTTAGTTGCTATTTTTTCCCATAGGTATTGTAGTTTAAGTGTTAAATAAATAGTTATTAGAGCAATTTTGTTTCTTTGCTTTTAGTTTGTCTTAAAAGATGACAGGTTGAATCAAAGCGAAGCCATATACGCATTTCTGAGCCCCAGCTCAGAAAATTTGAAACATTCTACACCGAATACCAAGAAGTCAAGATTTTCTTTTTCAACGCTCTTTAAGAGGTAACCATATGTATTATTTGTAGATAATGATTGTTTAAAACTGTATAATTTCTAAAACAGAGATAATAATGTGTAGTTTGTATAACGAAAATTTTTCTGGGAGTAACAAATTCATCATCATCATCGTCATCATGTAGCACTTCAACCCTGGGTGGTTCTCGACTAACTGTACAACGTTTTTCCAAACGGCTCGGTTTTTCATCAATCTGTTGTCCAGTTAATTATTTATTTTGAGAGATCTGAGTGAGATATGTCGTCTCTCCATCGTATTATGGGACGCCCAATTGGTATTTTTACTGCAGGAACCTCCCCAAACTAGTTTTATATGTTTTTTATTACTAAGTCTATGTATGTGTCTTTCCCTCTTAGTCTCTCTTGTGAAATGCATAGATTTAATCTCTTGTACAATATTATCACTATACAATAGTTTTATTTCTCATTCTATCTTGGTTTGTCCATCGTAATGAATTCCAAAATTTTTTCAAATTGTTTTTCTTTCTAAACGTCTGAATTTTTTTTCTAGCTTTGTCTTTTATCATAATATGGTCTCCATCGAGTTAATCCAATTGTTGTTTATAAGTTAATTTTTTATTGCTTTTATGAGAAATCTTGTTTATCAAAATTTTGCTAAAAAGTATTTGTTTCACAATTGAGTATAATTTTATTATAATTCCTAATCTCTGTATTTATTTTTTAGTGGTAGTGAGCAAAGTAAAGATACTTATTCAATTCTTAAAGAAAGTGAAGAGGACGACATATCTCAGTGTTTAGACACTGTAGACACCGTAGATTTTACTAAAAGTAACGGAAATTCCTTAAAAATGGCTGACGATACAATTGCTGAACCTTTGTACGCGCTCCTAAGCGAAATATTTGACATGAGAGGCGTATTCAAGTACGTCAGAAAAACTCTTATAGGTTTCGTACAAGTTACGTATGGCCGCAACATTAACCGACAGATTTATGATACGATTTCGTGGTGGTTTTCGGAAGAAATGCTTCACTACTACTTGACTGTTATCCTGAAGAATTTCTGGCCCGGTGGTACTTTGGCAGAGATGGGACCCATCAGATCGAAAGAGGAGAAGCTGCAAACTGCCCAAAAGGCCCAAGAAATGTTTGTCAACAATGTCCCGGAACTTTTAACGACTTTGGTGGGGAATAATGCCGGTAGACTTGGGGCGAAAAAAGTGTTTGACGCATTCCAGGAGAAAAATATGAATAAGCACTTGATTTACGTAAGTCTATAATTTTCAATAAGAATATTAATATATTGTACTGCTTATATAATCACACCAAACGGTGCAAAATGAAATTGTAAATTACTAACCACCTCTTTGTTAGCAATCCTGCAACTAGTTAGATTTTGTAAGTGGGCGACGAAAAAATAAAAAAAAAAAATAAAAAAAATAGTGCATATAAAAAAAACAAACAAAAATAAAAACAAAAACAAAGCAAAAAAAAAAAATTGAAAATAAAAATATAAATATATTAGTTATTGTGAAGAAGGATGAGTTTTCTTTTTTAAATTATTATAGTTAAAAAAAAATCGTCTGGCTAATTGGTCTTTACCAAAGCCATCTAATTAAGTAAAAAAAAAATACGTAAGTCTATTTAATTATTTGTCTACTCGCATATATTTCCTTTTATCTGGAAACCGTCATTTCTACAGCAATCGTACTTCAGACAGTTAACTTATTGTACATCTTTCATTAACTTCCAGAGACTTCGGCCGACCTACTGTATATAAGCTTTTCGCCAATAGGCGATGGACTTTTTATTTGGCCCTGGTATACTCAGGGCTCTTGTATCAAGCCGGCATCCACGGCTAGCTAGGTACAGTATCCACGATTGTGGTACCCTCTTTGTTCGTTACCTGTGCATTTTATTTATAAATTCAGAAAGATCTTCCTTTATGAGTCCTCTTCTCGACGATCTCTTTCTCAGGCACTACCATGCCCATACCATGCCAGAGTTCCCCAGCTCTAAGGCATTGTTTAGGCTTTACTTTTTCTCTGTGGCATGCATCCTCTAGAGACGATGGTGTTTATACTTCGGAACTAGGAAACGCAGTATAAATCTTACCATGTGATGAGTTATTTGTGATGCGGCTGTCTGTTGATTTGACGATTGAACATGGTGTAGATGTACAGTTGCGGTCACGGAATAGTTTACACCTTACTTTTTATATTGTAATACTGTAAAATTGCAGTGTCGTACGGATTTGATAAATGTCAAAGTCAAAAAATTTCAAAACGTCAATGCTTTCGCGAGTGTTCAACAATAAAATAAAAGTATATTAAACTCTTCCAAAATGGTTAGAATACATTTGAATTATGCGCAAAAAGCAAGAGCAATTGCCAAACTCGAAGAAGGTTGGTCGCTAAGGCAAGTTGCTGCTGATTTGAACGTGAGTCATATGTGCATATGGAAGATTAAACAAACAAACCAAATATTAATTATTATTTATCATTGTTTATCGTTATTTAATATAAAATAGATTTAAAATAAAATGCATATTAAAAAAAAGACTTCTTTATTTTCGTTATTAAGATCATAATCCATTTTATTCAAAAAACTGTTTTCTATATTTTTCATTTTGTAAAATATTTTGATATTTTAATTTTAATCTACCTATTCTAGCTAGTACACCACTGGCAACGTCACTTTGACGTAAAAGGTGCGTTTAAACGAAGTAAAAATTTAAAAAATGGGCTCCTAGATACGTGAACCTGTAAACTATTCCGTGACCGCAACTGTACATGTGTATGTTTTCGTATGTGTGGGCATGTGCCATGTTTAATCAACAGATCCCACAGTTAATGACATGCTGCAATCTCTATGTCATGTTCTCAATTGATCCGCGGGTGTTTATTACATTATTCATACCCTGTCCTATGGTCCTATATACTCATTGGACGTTCCCTATTAAGCATTGGGACGTTCCTTGTCGGATATGAGAACTTCCCCATCTAGTCTGTCCTGCATTGAGTGGAAGCAAACTCAGACTCACAGTCTCAGACCGACACGGACTCGTATATTGATAAGAACTGCCTAGTGGAACCGTCCACTTAATAAGAAAACGAGCGCACACATATTTCCTTAGAATTTCTTAGATATTTTTTTATTTTTAAATTCGGGGTTTGCACTGCCGGAGCCACAAGAAAAAGGGATGTTCGTTATGGTAACTCATAGTATTTGTTTATGTCGAATCTTGTCAAAAGCCTTTTTAAAATCAATTGCTCGGCTGTATACATTTTGATATGTATCTCTGCATCTCTGTATCAGTATTTGAATACTGAACAAGATCTCTCTCGTACTTAAGTCACTCCTTAATCAAAATTGAGTATTACTTACTCTATCCTCTAATGTCCTCTATATTCTGCTATGTATTACTCCGAAGATCTTCCAAACGTGACTGATAAGCCTTATTGCCCGATAATCACTACATGTCTTTGCACGATGTTTCTTTGATATTGTGACAAATGGCGACTTAAGCTAATCAGTTAGTAACAAAAAAGAGGTTAGGCTTTGTAAATGGGTATATTTATTTAAAAAACCCTTAAAAGGGCTACATCAATAAAACAAACGTTTTCGGACCACACAGTCCATCATCAGGTTTTAAAATCGAAAATGCCTAAAAATAAGTATGAACCATTTAGTTAAAACAAACGAGATTATGAAATTTTGACTATGGTTGAAAAGCAAAAGATGGTTATACTTACTAGGTCACAATGCCTGAGCCACCAAAATACTAGGGTAAAAACCCTTTAAATTACATTTAGTTATAAAAGATTGTACATTGTGTTATAAAATAACTGTGATGTTCAGTATTAAATTAAATTTGACTAGAGGTAACACATGGCTGAATCGAGTTACCAGAGCCGGTGAGAGAGAACCTCTACACGCGGAGAACAGCTGGGAACTGATTGACAAGATACTTATGAAGGATGATGAAAACAGAATGTCAATGCAACAAAAACTATATTAGTTGTACATAGTATTACTACAGCCAAAAGATTCAACAAGTTTTGATGATTTTAAAAATAACAACAATTTAGGTGTTAGGATTTAAAAAAAAACTTTTTTATTTATTAATTTAGGGTATAAAAGATGTGAAATCAATGATGGTTTTATAGTCTAGATTAATAGAATGACCTGTGCCTTAGGCAACTTATGTTGCTTTTTGTCGTATGGAATGTGGTCTAAAAGTGTATTTTATGTTTGGATTAGCTTATATCTATGAAAATTATCCTTTTATGTTTATCACATCTAGGACAAGGTAAAAATTAAATAACAAATATTTGAAGCTAATATCAGACCTCATATTTAAATGACTTTATTTAAGACTGCTCCTATGGTGAAAAATTAATAAAATTAAGTATAGTAAGATGGAAATCTACAGGCTGAAGAAATTAAAGTAGTAACCTATGTGATTGAATTTAAAATTGAAGAGGCTGGGTTCCTCAGAGACTGATGAGAATAAAAGTAAAGGAAATGACTGAAGAAAAGGAGAGGGGGCGATTGAAGGAGAAAAGGAGTTAATCAACAATTAGAGATAAAAGGGGTCCTTTATACCTAAAGTATCTAGCACCCTGAACAAAATCTATTTTGGTGGTATTAAATTCAGTTTGTAGAAACCTGAAATTTGTTGTATAAGTGTGCTACTAAGTTGTTGACCGAGAGAAGGTGGACAATGGTAGATAAGGATTCTTTGTAATATGGTAGATTGTGAATTTTAATAAATTGTTAGATAATGTATTGAGTGATTACTAAATTAAAACTATTGGATACATGTTTGATATATGAATTGACCAAGAAATAATGAAAGAGAACAGAATTGACAGGAATGTGATGTAGAAGTGAAGAGTGGATAAGATGGTGATATGTTGGTATAATAGATGTGGATGGTTCTGAAGTTAACATTGGGGTCGAAAATTTGTGAGAGGAAGGTGTGGCGATATTGTAGAGAATGAGTGTTTAAAGAAACACAAAATTGTGTAGGATTAAGGTGTTGACGTTTGTATAGGAAAATAAGGCAGAGAAAGTAGGGCAGTATTGTGAAGTGAGAACTATGAAAAAAGTTGACGATGTAAAGGTTGGAAGTCACGGTTGAACGATACATGGCGATTAACGCAATTGGGGCTATTTTGTTTTTCTTTGACTATTTCCAAGTCTTCATATAGATATATATATATATATATATATATATATAATATATATATATATATATATATATATATATATATATATATATAGTCTTATCAGTTAGTAATATCTCAGTGTCATAAATTCTGTTGAAGAGACCACACAGTGTTTTAATCTCATTTTCTTTCAAAAACTTTCAGCACTTACTTTATCAGGGAGACACAATCCTTCCATTACGAGGTATTGGACGTGGGAAAACCAGCACAGACGTGTTGTTTACCAAACTCAAGGCCTTCAAAATGTTAACGTCTGGACGGGCATTTTAGGAGATCACACAACAGGTTCATTTTTTATTGAGGGCAACTTAAATAGTAGAGTATACCTCACTTTGTTACAGAATTATGTTCTTCCCGCTATTCTCAATCTTCTTGATGTAAATCTGGAGAATGTTTGGTTTCATCAAGACGGCTATTCAGTTCACATCGCTCGAATATTTAGGGAGTATTCAAACAATACTTTCCCGAGTTATCAGTGGAACAGGCGATATTAAGTGGCCTGAGCGATCTCCAGATCGTACACCCATGGGCTTGTTTTTTGGAGACATTTAAAAAGCATCATCTACGATCATACTGAGACTAGAGCCCAAAATTGGGATGTATCCAAAAAATGGAATAAGAGAAGGATCCAATTTTATTAAGGCAGAAACTCTTTCATTTGTTTGCAGAAGTTCTTATGACATATTGGGATACTGTTCCGCAGTAGAAGGTCAAATTTTGTTTTATCTTTTTAAAGAAATGCGCTTTTATTTTTAATTCAACCACAAAAAATGATCACACTATTAAAAATCGGTACAAATGCACCGCCGTATAAAGGTCAGTGTATTTTTATTAAGTTTATGTACTTGATGTACTCATGTTTATGTAAGAAATAAACCGGGTATAACTAATGAAAAGCAAACATCTAACGACGGAGATATGCATTGTATGTGTTGATGTGAGTTACTAAATGATTTTCTGTCATAGTGTCGGAGGTGATCGCAGAATTACAATTACCTGATACAAGCGCGTTGAAGTTCGAAGCAATTTTGCCGATTTTAGTGCTTTATGTGTGCAATATCTAATCCAAAACTTAACGTACTGTATATCTTTTCTTTTTTTAACTTTTTATCTAGATTCTGTAAATTTTTCTTAAATTTTTAAAATTTTATTTCTTGCCATTTTGCCTTCTTAAAGTTCCTTATATTTTTCCTTATTCAATTTTTCTTATTTTTTATTAGCTTTTGTTTACATTTCTTTTAGCTTAGCTTTGGACGGACTCAAGCGTATTTTGTGTCTTTATTACGCAACTCAACGTAAAATTAAACCTTCCCTTTTCAATAGCAAAGAAGTTACTTTTTAAGTATTTTTAGAAAAACTGTGTAATTTTTGAATTTTTATTTTTCAGGAAGTAATAGAGGTTGTCTTGGATGCGGTATTTCCAGAATTAGGCTGAATTTTGTACACAGCTGTTTTCAATAATGGTCTAGTCAAATTACTATACTTTGCGATTAAGTTCTAAAAAAATATTTTTCTCTAATGATTGTATCTTTGTTTTAACTGTGATATTTTATTTTCTACATTTGCCTATCTATGACATGTTAGATGATATACATTAAGTATTAATTACTATGATTTATTACCACTGAACAGTATTTTATAAATTCCGTCTGAAATGCTTTTATTATTCATGTAGTAAACAAATATTTTAAATAAATGTATATAAACTTGTTTGATTTATTTATTCCTTAATTATAATTGGTGTTAATCGTAGGAATAAAAAGACGTAAAACTGTAAGAGTAAAGGTTCTAGAGTATGGATCACGAGAAGTCAGTTTTTAAATCTATTTTTAATCAGACAATTTAACTTATCACAAATCAGTTAACGTGGGTCGTATGTTCTCGCAGCTTATCCTTTCAGTAGAGGATCTCTTGGTCACTATGTACAACAACGATCGATTGCAGCCCATAATAAGTTCCTGAGCTACTGTTAAGACAATGAGCTCTGGAACGGTAAAAACAAAATTTTGTGCTTTTATGACCACATCGAATCTTATCTTTCTTCTGTTTACATAATGTGACGTGAACTCGTGAAATTCATTTGGAAATTATTTACGTTTAGATATTATGCCGGCTTATAAGGCAAGGCAGATATTGTGGACAACTTTTTTCTTTTTAGACAGTTTCTTAATTCGTTATTTCATATAATTTATTTTCTTTTCCATTTCATCCAATTTGTAGATGTTGTTCATTCTTAACATCATTTGATCGAGGTATTCCTCGTCTGCAATTTTTATAGTCAAACTTAAGATTACACATATTTGAATGGATTTGCATGGGCAACCGTAAGAGCCTCCTAGTTTAGGATTGTGCAGGCCTCAGTAAATTTTGTAAAATAATCCATTGCCTCGATTTATTCCTAACATCCATTTCTTCGAAAGGTCCTTTCATTGGCACCCTCGTTTTACGAACTAGACCATTGCCTGATAGTCCTAATTAGCATTTTCGGCACCATCGTTTTACATCTTTTCAGTTCACCAAATATAACCGTTCTTTAATCTTTTGTAACGTATTTTTAATACCAAAATGTAGTACACAAGCATTTAATTGACGCAATATTTCTGACACTGTACTTTTAGGTAGAATTAGCTGTAGTTTCAGAGAACGATTGGGAATGAGGGAAACTTAGATCTCAATACTATTACTTTAAAGATCATGGGAAGTACGGAAACCAATTTACATCTGCTTTATAGATTTTGAAAAGGCGTTTGATAGGGTCCAACATGATAGACTGTTTGAGTTTCTAGAAATGACTGGAATAGATGACAGAGATCTTACTTTTTACATCTGTATTGGAATCAAGAAGCTTGTATTCTGGTAGACAGGAAATAAACAGACACAATTTTCATTCAAAGAGGTGTCAACAAGGTTGTGTGTTATACCCAACTTTTTTTAACGTGAACTTTAAATACCCAGGATGTTGGATAAATGGGACACTAAATCCGGATGAAAAAGCTCGTATAGACATTGCAAGAGGAGCATTTATGAAACTTTATATATATATAATATATATATATATATATATATATATATATATATATATATAATATATATATATATATATATACTAGCTGACCCGGCGAACTTTGTTCCGCCTTAATGACAATAAATAAGCAGATTGTGTTTTTTTTTTGGAAAAAATACAAAAAAAAATTAAATAACTACATTAATCATTCATTATTATTTCTGTATTTTAGTACATAGGTTGCTCTTCACTTAAGTACCTTGTGATACACGACATTTTTTGTTTTATTATCAGGCGCAAAAACAAACAACACAGATGGTCTTCCGACCCGTGAACATGCCACGTATAATTGACCATGGGAAAAACATGAATGTTCTAGATTTAAACCACAAACTTTTAAGGATTGGCCTTGTGATTTGTTGATGGTCATGGCAAATGCAAGACGTATTGGAAATTGAAGTCTTTTAAATTCAAACGGCATATCGGTTGGGATTATCGGGATCCTCGGAATGAGAACTTCCTCACCTTTGAATTTTCCTATCATTATCGTAGCGTAAATTACATTGTTCATCAATTTACTAACCACCAAACGCGTACCGTTGCACAGTTTTGGTTGGTTTATGTTTCGAAGCATGATTACTACGGAGCCAACCTTTAGGCGTAAATTGTGCGGTGGTAAGCCAGGCACGTCCAAAGAGTTTAAAAATTCAATTGGATAGTTGGTGGCTTCATCTTCATTTGTGACGCAGTCAATAGATTTGAATGAATGCATTGTTCCAATGATCTTATTTTGAATTTGTAGTTCAGGTCATCTACATCTTTATTCTTAAATCCGCTAAAATTGTTCGCTCACTCAACCATTCATTATTTTTGTAGTTAGAAATAATATTTGGAAATACATTGTTGATAAGTTCGTCTTTTGATGAGACAAAATTACAGAAATTATTTGGAAATGATATTAATCCGCTCGATTCATCGACAGGTACTTGACCATTACCGATAGTCAGTAATTGCTCCGAGAAATCTTCAGCAGATGTATCATTAAGCAATGTAACTCTCATGTTTGTTGTCAGCTGCAGTTTCTTCACATAGAGCCATAGATTTGACGATTTGAGGCAAGCGTTTATTTCATCGGCAGCCGTAGATCTTGGAATTACTGGCAGTATTTGGCGGAAATCGCCAGACAGTAAAATCATTGCTTCTCCAAAACATCTCGAGTCATTGCGTAAATCTTTTAATGTTCGGTTAAGTGCTTCTAATGCACGTTTATGCGCCATTGTGCATTCGTCCCAGATGATGATTTTCGATGCCGCTAAAACTTTGGCCATTGCTGAGTGTTTTGCAATATTACACGTTGGTTCTTCAATAGTTTGAAGATTTAACGGTAATTTGAATGCTGAATGAGCCGTACGGCATCCTTCTAACAATGTGGCTGCTATTCCAGAAGAAGCAACTGCAACCGCTATGTTGGATCTCGCCAGAACAGTTGCTAAAACTAATGACATAAGGAATGTCTTGCCAGTTCCACCAGGGGCATCTAGGAAATATAAACCACCATTTTCATCAGCGATTGCCTTCATTAAAGTATCATAAACTTCCTTTTGTTGGTAATTCAACAGGGGTACATTCCTTTGAACTACTAAATTTAATTCCTGGTGATCATATTCACGTTCCCGTTCCAATTCTCGATTAAATGCGTCATTCATTGCACGATTTGGCGCTGGCATTCCTAACCTGATTAATAAATTACCGCACTTGAGGTAACACATATCTTCGATCAAGAGTAAAGCACATGGGTTTGATGGAAAACATGTCGAAATTATGATAGCGAATAATGTGCGTATCTGACTTGGAGATGCAGAGATAATAGCTTCAGCGATTGTCGTATCCCAATGGGTATCGTTTTCTAATAAGTTCAATTCTTCACATGCAGCACGATATGTTGGAAATATTACACCATTAACAGTCTGTAGTGTCTCAAATGAAGTTGGCCCACGCACATTTACCAGCGACAACCGCAAATAGAAACATTCATCATTCTTTGGATGAACTGTATACATACGACCAAGAGCATCAGTAGAACGCACATCTGGATGCCCAGGAACCGCATCAAATTGCTTCCGTCTTTGAAAATTCTTGGATGAAGCATTCCAAGTATAATAACGTGGCATCTCCGAGTAAAGCAAAGTTCGTGCAAACTAATCGCTTTGGCAGATTGCAAAAAAACTGGTCAATGTAGTTGCTGGAGGTGTTTCAGCACGTTGCGTAGCATTCGAAGCCGTGAAATATACTTGTTGACCATTCTCCAGATGCACCGCCAAATGTATAACAGTAGGATGACGTTCGTGAATTGGAAATGCGAATATACGCCAAATCGCTTCATTACAGTTCACATAACGACCAACTTGATAGCGTGGAATTTCATCGTTGGTATTTGAGGATGGCAATCCAAAAACCGCCATATCACTGCCTTTCCTGATATATTTGCAAATATATTTTATGGACTTAACTGAATTGCAGTATTTAACGTTGCAATGTGTCTTGAACGTTTTAGAAATAAGTGGCGAATATGGAACAATCCAACTGTTGTCGACAACGAAATCCATTCTTTTCACTTTCGTTGTGACAGTTCGACCGTTGTCATCTGGTGATCGACGCCGATACAGCGGATACCCATAGTTGTCAGTGACAGTCTCCGCCGTTAATTTCCGTGGATATCGTTTAGAGCACTTTCCATCGACCATGCAAGGTGATTGGGGATTGATGGCACCACACGGTCCATGAATCATATTAGTAGTAACAACATCATGTAGGTCTGGATCGACTTCATGATCAGGAATCTCGGCACATATGATATCATCTATTTGGTCAGGCTGAATTCTTTCCACTAACCAAATAAGAATGTGTGCGTGCGGCAGGCCTCGCCTTTGCCATTCGATTGAATACATCCAGCATCGAGTATCTCCAAAGACGCGTTGTTTAATAATAAAGTTCACCAGGGACCGATTTTTTTGCCTGAATATACGTGCTGTGATGTCGTGTCTATCATTTGATGTTTGTCCGGGAAGCAGCAATTGAGTAATTTCTATCCATTTTGGATTACAGGTAAAAGTAATAAAGAGATCTGGCCGGCCGTAATGACGAACATATGTCATTGCATCTTGTGCATATTCATGCATATGACGTGGGCTACCAATGTACGTCGCCGGCAGAATAGTTAATCGACCAATATTAGCTGCATTTCCTTCAGTACTAATTGCATCACGTAAGTGGATGTACTCCTCAGAACGCAGTTTGGCTTGGTTGAACCTAATAAATGTTAAACGTTCCGTTTCTATTTTTACATACATGTCAACGCAATACTGCTGAAACAATCGACGAAACCGCAGCAAATAGTTGTCAGCATTTTGACGAATCATCAAACGATATGCATAATAATTCATTGAGCTAACTCGAGCTAATCGAGCTGTTTCACGGGCTGCTTCACTTTGCTCTCGTGATTGAGAAGCACGAAGTCGAGCCATACTATCGCGGCGCTGTTCACGTGCAATTTCTTGTTGTTCTTCAGTCCTTTCATTTGCAGTATTTTGTATTTTTCTTGCATTACGGCTTTGTCGGGAAAGATTCGATCGTCTTGGTCGCTGCATTATTAATTAAACTTCACTTCACTTCAATTACGGCTTTGTCGAGAAA